TCCATGGAGAGGGAAAGAGGTCTTTGTGTGATGGCAGAGTCACGGTCATGGTGACAATACAACTCCCTCTGTCATGGGTTAGAGCTGTTTAACCTTTTGATCCTCTTCCTTCTTAATGTGGTTTTGAGCCTTTAAGGTTCTAGTATACCCCCCCCCATAAAAAAAAACTAGGATGGAAATTTTAAGCTCTCAACTGAGCGGCAGCTTACGAGAGAAGTTTACTCAGTAGGAAATGCAGTTTACATTCCTGACATTGTATTTGGTGGATAAAGAAGTTTAAATTAGAGAGAGGCTTGGAAGTGTGAGCAAAGGGATAAGGCAAAAAAATTCAGTTAGTCCACAACGGTGTGAAAACAGAGTAAAAATAGCAATATGGTGTTTTCATGACAATTTCATTTTACAGAATAAAAAATGCAGAAACATTTTGCACTTTATGCAAAATATTCATTTAATTTCTTAATTCAACCTCTTTATATTTGCTTGTATTGGGTTTTCTTTTAATTTTTAGTTTTTTTATAATAAAGATTATGGTTTAAGAATATACATCAGCTGATATATCCATATCATGTTTTTATTCCAAATACCGGTAGAGCATCACCCCCAAAAAATCTACATGGTCGAGCTATATTATTATTACAACATGTGAAGACTCAGTAAGTGAGTAATCTGAGTTATAGAGAAGTTCAAAGTTGCTGACAAGAATAATACTTTTGACATTTGACTCATTGTGAACAACAAGTGCTTTAGTGCTCTTGAGCAACATCAGTTTCCGTGAGAGTTGCACTTGCAAACTTGGAGTCTTGTTAAGTTATCAAGTGTAGAAATGTTCTCGTTATGCTTGAATGCAGAAGTAAACTAGGCGTGAATGAAAAATAACATTATGCTGAGTTGTGTTCACAGCTGCATCAACACATCTGAGCTCTGCTGACTCCTTTAATGGACTACATGCTACATACATGACCATAGCGTGAACACTGTAAAGAATCCACGTAGTGCAGTGTTTTGAATATTACAACATATTTCCAGTGATCGTTACAACATGTGGAGACTCGGTGTGTGAGTCGTCAGAGTTACAGAGAAGTTAAGTTCCTGATAAGAATAATACTTGGGAATTGACATTTGTCACACAGCTAGTGCTTTAGTGCTCTTGAGCAACACCACTGATTTTAGCGAGTGTTACACATGAAAACTGGGAGCGATGTTCAGTAATCAAGTGAAGAAACTGAACTAAGTCTGGTTCAACTGTAACATTTATACCAAGAGTTGTGTTCACATCTAAGATCTGCTTACTCCTCAAACCTATTACATGCTACATACATGAGCATATCGTGAACACAGTAAAGAATCCATGTTATAGTATAGTGTTACTGCGGTCACATTTACATTTTGCATTACATAATACAACATGTGGAGACTCAGACTGTGAGTTAATGTTGCTGACAAGAACAATGCATGGAAATTGAAATTTGTTCCCAGCTGCATCAACACATCTAAGCTCTGCTGACTTCTCAAACCTACAACATGCTGCATACATGACCTTAGCATGAACACAGTAGAGAATCCCTGTTTTGCATTGATGTTTATATTTTACATAACATATTACAACATGTGCAGACTCGGTCCTCAGAGTTACAGAGAAGGTAAAAGTTGTTGAGAGGAACGATGAGTGGAAATTGACATTTGTTCCCAGCTGCATCAACACATCTCCTCAAACCTACAACATGCTTCATACATGACCTTAGCATGTAAACTGTAAAGAACGAGTCGGTGTGTTTCCGGTAGTATCTCAAACAGTTTGAGAGAAACTTTCCAAACAAGCCTCCTCCTCCCTCCATGGATCCATGTGTCAAACCAGCGGCTCTCTGTGAAGAGCAGAGCCAAATGTTTACCGAGGCTTCCCCGTGGACACTGACGGTTAGAGCGGGTAAAGTTGGAGCCACCTCGGCCCCACATCAGTGAGCAGGGGGGAGCCTGGTGCCGTGGAGCTGCGGTGAAACGACGCAGACTGGAAAAACTTCCAGAGGACAGCACCGCGCTGCTGCTGCTCTTCTCCCCCCGCTGCTGCCACCGGAGCCTCGGCCCGCGGGCTCAAACCAAACACACACTCCCATCTCTTCAAATCACAGCCTCTGTATGAACTAACACACAACAACGACCCCCGGGGGACATTTTAACCAAGATGAGAGCGGTTTGCACTCGGTGAAGAAGTTTTCACCACCGCACCGCGACCGTTAAGTTACCGAGCAGCACGTTGGATGTGTCCGGTAAACATGGCGGAACGTGAGCGGTACATTTACAATGAACATCCGATTTCAGCGGAGGACACGGAGGAAGTTCTTACCTGAAACCGCAGCAGCTCCGGAGGATCCAGCTTCAGCTTCAGCTTCAGCAGCAGCTCGACGCTCAACTGGTGGAGAACCAACAACCAGCTGTGACCACAAGCCAGCGGTAATGGCGGCTACTGCTTCCTGTCTGCACCTTCAAAATAAAGGCGGAAAAATAAACGCCTGCCACGTTCATTTCTGATATGAAGCTGATGATTCAACTTACAACGACAGAAATGAATTAAAAATCCAGTTCACACTCAGACTAATTATTGAATCGTTATTTTTCAACTGTTTCTATAGGCGTTGAGTGATATGAGTGACACGCAAGCTTTTACTTTGTTCAGCAGATAACGTGGCGAGTTCCGGTAGCAGTATGTTCGAGTGGAGGGAAGAGTATAAACAAACAAACAAGAAATACAAAAATAAAACAACATTTTGGTAAATAAATGTTTTCATCTGCTGGGCTCATCTGGGTTTAAGCTTGTATTATTTCAATCATTTTCATTTTTACTGCATTTTTCTTTTTCAAAGGTACTTTTAGTTCTTCTACTATTCATTTCACACCAGGATACAAACTTTAATGCTGTCAAATGTTCTGACTGTGAACAAATGTATTTTACCATGTATTTAAATACATTTTTGTACACAAATAAATGTTTTTATGTACTTGTGGTTTTTTACATTTCATTTAATGTCCATTTTAAAGTGTTTTTTACTTTTACAGGTTTTTTTCAGTGATCATTATTACTCCTTCTAACATTTTTATATATTTGCATTTACATCTTCATAATTAATAATAAATAAATGTTCTTAGTTGTCTCACCACACATTCACCCCAGAAAACTCCCCTTTTTTACACTTCATCTTTTACTTTGATCATATAAATACCTCAACTACATGAAGCAGAAACAGACCGACATCCTCTGACTAAGTGTCTTCAAACAAATAAGCAATTTCATAACTTTGTGAAGTAATGTTATTTGTCTAAATCAACCTCTTATAGTTGGTAAATTAATGTGTAAGTGAACCAAATGCGGAGAAAGACAATCAGAAACTAAATATGAAATTGTGTGGGCAATTGGACATTGTGTAAACACTTAGGGCTCTTTATGTTTCTAAAGGCTTTTAATCTTTATCATAGATTTTTACCTTTAGATCTTTATACTTGGCTCTGGAAATCATATTCTGTAATCATGTTGCATCAGGTCTCTTTCAGTATCTTCAACAAGCGAATCAGTTCATTTATTCATTTAATTTAATTTTTGTTTGGTATTTTGTTTTGATGGACTTCAAAGAGACAGGAAATAAAAGGCAGGGTGTGTTGCATGACACACCCATGAATCAAACTGTGGATATTGTGGTTATGTTGTATGGACCTTAACCTTTTAGTCACCACACAACCAAAATCAGAACATATTAAATCTAATTGGGTTATTATTGTTGTTTGTGATTATTATTAAATTATTTCTTTTTGCTTAGGTATAAGCAGGCATTTGCCCATTCGCAGTTGTAATTCTAAGTCAAGAGGAAATCAATTGTCACTGAATAATTCTGATCTCTAAGGGTTCCCTCTTTCCAAGTAGAGACAACATACCTCTTACATTTTTTCATCTTTACATTGTGAAAAACATAGATAAATGATGCTATGGCAGAATATTTCAATATGTAACACTGTATATACTGTAATTCATCTTCCTTCACCTGTCACAAAGGTATTTCTCTGTGGGCCCCTTGTAATTCCTGCTAAATAATGGTTTGTAATCACTAGAAGTGACTTGAAATCACATTACCTGTTAGAGAGCATCATTTATGGACTGTTACATGGTGTGGACAACTGTTCCCTGGTCATGTTTCTGTGTCTGGTTGAATGAACATCCTCATCCAACAAGGACATTAATCCATGTTAGTTTGACCAAGGTGGGCTTTAAGTTTCACTGCTGTTAAAACAGTTTAGAACAGGTGCCCGCTGGTACTTGTTTTCCTCGAGGAACTTAATTGTGCTGTATTTCCATTTTGAAAACGTTAATGTGTTGCTCTGGTCATTTTTCAAGCACGTGTGCAGCATTGAGAGAGCAAGAGGTAAAGTGTCGTGCCGAGTCGGCACCCTGCACCTTCTGCCCACAGAAACCCAACCCAGCAGGAGACAGGGGACCAATCCTAAGAATTCCAAACACTCTGCAATACGTATGATCACAGTTTTGTGGGTTCTCAGCATGGCAGCATGATATAATCGGTTGCAGGTTTCAACATGACGCTATTAAGAAACCTCTTAACTCTCTCGAGGGCCTGCTGGCCATCTTGTTTACCCTGAAAGAGGAGACGGCAACTTACTGTGATTGCCACACTCTCAGCTCTTTTAATCAGCCTAATACCACCACCGGACGTGACTGTGGCATACTTTCTGACGAGCTGAATTGACTTCAGTCTGTCTGAAATGGCTTGCAAGCCATTAGATGTGCCGGGAATGTAATTCCAATGAATGACATGGATTATTAACTTCAGAGAGATTAAGTTTCTGAGGATAAGACATCAACAGTAAATAAAACGCTGAACCAAATGCCACCAGACGTGCATTGCTGGTGGCAAAGAGGTGAAGAAAATCTTAATCATCCAAAATGTGAAACTGTCATGAGCCTATCATGGCTTTCATGAAGAATTTACATAAGATCTGTGTAGTGGATATAACTATTTTTAATAAACATAAAAATGTAAACATATACAGTGAATATACAGAATACACATGAGCGTAGATTGAAGTGTTTAAACATTTACCAGTGGCGATAGGAAAACTGAGGCTGGGCTCGCTCAAGATGAATCTAGACTAATGTTACTTGAAATTAATTTTCCTCATTAGGACTTTACCTCATGTAAAACGAGCTTGGAGGTGTTAATGAAGTCACCTTTTTCACATATTAGTCTTTAGGAACAGTGCCATCTGCTGTTAACAGAGGTAGAGGGGAGGGACCACACATGCTCTCACACACAGAATGATCCTTGCTACAAGTTACTGCAATGCAGTAGAAAAACACCTGCACATCGCTCATTTCAGCAGCAGCGTCATTTGTCTTTGGGACTAGAAGAGCCAAGTAAACATCACTTCTCTTTAGAAGACCCACACCTCAAATATTCTGCCAATAACCCTCAGGAATACACTGCCAAAACATATGTGATGGCTGAAATGTGGTTTAAGTAGGTTCGTGCAGGTCCAAATTAGGTGCCAAACCCAGTGATTTCCCAGGGAATAATTCATGGACTTTAATGGGGAAAAAAAAAAACCCTGCATATTTAGGGGACTGATTTAGATGAGTGTGTGTAATGGGATGAAGCTTGATTGAATTTAAGGGGACTATATGGCCTTGGCAGAGATATACCCTCTACTGAGTGCCATTCTAGTTATAGTCAGGGTAGAGCGGGTCCTCCACTAACACTAACCAACCACACTAACCAGAGGGTAGACAGTTTGATCCCAGTCTCCTCCATCATCATGTGAAGCACAATGAATGGGCATCTAGACATTAAAAGCACCATTTCAAAAGCCATTTATACCTGTGTGTATGGTAACGTAGGGGATAATACTGCAAATGTCACATTTGGCATGGTTGCTAAATCTAGGTCAAATTGCCAGTGCCTTCTTTGGCGACATTATTCTGTGCGCCTGCAGCTGAAACAACTGCACCAACAAGACTAGCTGCTCCGTTACAGTGTAGCTGGAAAATGAGGAAAGTTACAGTTTGCAGCTTTAAAAGGAAAACTGGTTTACTTGCAGAACTGGCGGCTGATGTCATAAAACTCTGTCACCAGAACCACACCCTGGAAGCTTGAAGTAATAATTGCAGCAGCTGGCTTTGAATGTGAGCCAGAGCTTCCAGTAGACCCCTCTCACTCATTCCAAAAGGAAGTATTCATAACGTGTGTAGGTGCAAAATATAACAAGGCTCATCGACTGCATAAAAATGTCTCTTATAATTTAAAATCCCATTTACACCTTTACTGTAAGTGTGGACTGGCTAAATATTCAGCCCCAATTTTCACCCATCTGTTGTCATTTTAAAAAGTGAACAGGGGTTATGGGCTGTTCCACAAAATCACCACGTCAGTTCCAACTCATCAGTTCCAGAAAAAACGAGCGACATAACTGGTCAAAGCTGTTGAAATGAACGATTCTCTGTTATCTGAATGCCCTGTGCAGGCGGCGTGGTTCATCTCTGTCATCCATCAGTGCTTTGAGGTGAGAGTCAGGGTGGAGGAGACACGGAAGATCTGAGGAAGCATGTTGCTCAACTGGTAGAACATTTCCTCTGAGATACTCTGTGAATACAAAGAGGGACACAAGGAGACAGACAGGAGTGAGCATTGAAGGGCTGAGATTTCTGCATTACTAATTTAAAATGGAAGAAAAACTCTAGAAGGGCACTCGGTGAAAGCACACGTCTGCCAAGGCCCAAACAGTTTCCTTATGAAACCACATTTATTTTCACTAAATCTGAATTTTCTATTTGGATCTGCACCAAATTGCACACTCATAAATATCAGTCCCCTAAACATGCCTGGATGTTTTCATTGAGATCCATGAATTATTCTCTATGTTAAAGAAAGTGGAAAAAAAAAATCCTGGATCCACACCAGACTTAAATGGGTTCTTCCCTGACCCATACAACATCGTTCCGTCAAGTTTCATTGTAGTGCGTCCAGTTGTTTTTGATTAATCCTGCTAACTAACACACAAACAAACGCACACAAAAACATAACCCCATTGGTGGAGGTAATAAAACAACATTTTTACCTACACACTGACAAATAGTTAAATACATCTGGACTGTTTGTGTACAGCCAGGTGTTAGTAGCCTATGTGGTGCCCTTTTACTCATGACCACGGGGTCTTTTTGTCTCCCGGGGGAGCAGTTATCAAGATGCTGAAATAATTTCATCTCCGGCAGCTGTAAACTCTAATGAGTGAACAAACCGCGTCATTCTGAGCATTGCTACCTATCAAATAAGAATGTTAAGTATTAATCTTTAAAAAGAAAGAAGCAGCGTATATTTAGTCGCCGTGTCTCTTTGAGGTGGAGAAAACAATGCTGTTGCAGTAGGTGCTATTTTGAATGGTGTCTGAGCATGTAGCTGACAGGAAGCCAGTTCAGTCAGAGTGCTTTGAGGCCGCTGGTTTTTATCATCTTAACCTGTCAACAGGAGATCATGCTATAGGCTCTGCTGCCTTCCTGACAAACCACAAATGCCGTAGGTATACAGCATCCAGCTAAGCCCCATATAAAACTATAGACGGGGTTCCTCCAGCACAGAGGTCGCAATTACTTCCGAGAAAACCTTGTTTAAAAGTTGAACTTGAATATTTCGGTCTTTTCCTTGTTAAGCAAAATTATAGTAAAATACTTAACATAAGATTTCTAGATAAACTCAAGATTACACCTCAGTTTGGAAAAGCTACACCGTAATCCGATATTTATGTGGATGAGTCTCTGAGCTTTCTTTTATCACAGCACTGTAAACACTGGTGCAGAGAACCTAAAGCTCTATTATTTATAATTTATCACATGCTTTTCAGGCTGCCTTTCTTCTCGGCCTGTGTTCAAAGGTATGCACTGTAAGACCAGGTGTGCCTTTTGTGGTGCTGTGTGCACGTGGGGCCTAATTTCTGTTGAATTCAAATTCAAGCTTTGCAGGCAGGAAATTACTCAAAGGATGATTTTTGTGACAGCCAAGCTATAAAAAGAGAAAATCTTACGTTGTTCCATTCTGGCCTTACCTTTGGCACTAGAAACTGAACCGTGCGTGATATGCCACCGTCCCAAGAGGCCATCTCCATCATGAAGCCTGCAAATGAAATAGATTGAAAGTTAATGATATTTCACTAAATCTTCCACTGTTTAATATCAGTTAGTAAGGTTCAGTGGATGGAATATGTTGTGTGACTTTGTGCACCCACTTTCCAAAAGGTGCCTTGATTTTATGTGTAATATTTTTTCAGAATGATAAAAACTTCAGAAAACTGTTGTGAAATCGTGAAGGTTTTTAGACCAAGAGAAAACTGACTGAGGACTGAGAGAGTGATTAAGTAAAAGCACATTCAATTTCTAATGTGCAATGCAGATTATGGTATATTTACAGTGTTAAATTGGAACAGTGTTAATGTTTCTAAGATAAAGAACCTGGCTTTACTTCAAACTGTTACCTTTGACACATTTGAAGACCAGCTCGGCTCGCTTCAGACACCACGGTATGGTCATCTCCTGTAGACAGAAGAGAGAAGACATGGGAAAATTATGTTTTTGTTGGCTGTGTGAAATTAAATTATAAATAGTAGTATAATAACACATGTTATCATGTAAAAAATCTGTATCATGTCATAAATCTGTGTGTGCAAAGAATTTCTGGAAACAGGCATGAAATCAAAGGACAGCAGGTTCAACTTTATAAATGCTACCTTTTATAGAATCAAAAATGTAATAAGGATTTGTTCAATTTAAAGATCAAGCTGTCCTATGTATATCAAATTAATCTTTTGTTTGTCTCCTCCATGTTGAGCTGTTTTTTGTGCGATCTAATTTGTTAAAAATATTGTTTAAAAAAAGATTCCTTAAACAAATTTGTGTTGAGTCTTTTTTTATGTATATAATTCAAATTAAGTAGGTCCAGCACAAAGCCTCTTGTCAACTGAATATATTGACACTCAAAAATATCAAGGCATCAGTTATGTTAGGCTCCAGGCCACCAACAGTGACCTCAGCATTTCTTCAATCTCTGCAGCACACACACACACACACACACACACACACACACACACACACACACACACACACACACACACACGGAAATATGTTGCTCTCATCTCGAGTAAACAAACTGAACCCATGAACTGGAGGTAAGGCTCATCATGTTTAGACCCATGTCAACTGTGTCATTAACCGGGTTGCCTCTGTTGTGTTTTGACTGCACTCTAGTTAATCTAGACAAAAACTATGCCAGTTGTTTTAACACCAAAACAGAAGGATAGGCTTGTAGAAACATCTCTACAGGACAGAACAGAGGATGACAGATGGAAGGTTTTGGGGCCAGAAGCTATCAATTAAAGATCCTCTGGTTCGCGAGGCTTCAGAAGTTAGACGACTTTGGTTATGTAAACAAAGACTCTTGATTAGACGTGAGAAGAAAAATTGCGCCGGGCACGTCGTGGCATGAGTGCACTCGAGGCACAGCCTAGCTGAGAATTTACTTTCCATCTGATGGGATGGGATCCTCAGTCCATTATGATTTAATTTTTACTCAGTTTAAGAACCAAGGGAGAGCTGAAACCTTCGATTTTCCAATTTCCAGATATAAAAGAAAAGTCCATCTCAAATGAACCTAATATTGGCTCGAGCTTTCTGTGTACTTTCCACTCCTGTTTGAGGTCAGACTCCATACACTCTGAGGTACTAAGTAAACAGAAAGGTTTACGACACTCTGTTTTGCCCCTCTGGATTTAAACCTGGGTAGTGTTAAGTTGTAGGCTGTAGGTCACAGTCAGGGCCTAACAAGCCAGGCCGTGTTGACGCAGTGCGTAAACAAGCAGAGGCAGGATGAAAGGGAGGAAACAGTCACTGCTCAATTCATTAGGAACATGAAGACTTGTGTGGCCAGCAGCTTTTCTTCATACAAAAGAAAGATGCACGATAACAGATAAAGGAGTATATGATTGTAGAGTTAATGTTGATTCAAGAGCTAAGAGTTTAAGTTAGGCCTCAGTTTAGTTGGTAAACTCCACAGCTGCATTTCAGTATAGATGGGCATAGACAGCGACACGGAAACAATGACTGCTGTCAATAACGAAAAATAATCAATCAATAATCATTTCACATACCCTGGCAGATCTCAAATCTCTTAAAGTCAAGTGTTTGCCAAACGATTCCTCTGTCAAACTCACATTTACAATCACATTTGTATTTTATACAGATAACTTGTCTATGATCCGCTAAAATTTGAAGATGACACGTTAACACTGTTCTGAACTGGTATTATTATCCATCTTGACCTGATCACAAAGTTCAGTTCTGAACGCACCCAAATGCTTCCTGATCACTTAAACCACATTCGGAGCTGGTCTGGGATGCATGTTACCACATTCTTTTCACTGTGTGAACAGAAATGCATCCTGGCCCACAGTTACAGTTTCACAAACATATTTTTATTGTTCTCAGTGTCCATATGTTAATATGTTTGTGGCAACCACCATAACATCAACCACCACAATGATTTGTATTTTATTTCAAATGAGAAAAATCTTTTCTTCACAGCACAAATTCAGTCAGCCCTTCCTGACTCTGCGAGCTCGCTCTTTCTTTCTCTCTCACTCCTGACGACACACAGACACACACTACAAACATTGTCATCGGACACATCTGTAAAGACTCAGTAAAGATACAGTCTAAACAGGGCCTTAAGTTTGGGAGAGGCTAAAACAAGAATGTATGAGGTTAATGACTGTATGACTGTATCAGATAACTCCAGTATTTTAATCCTGTCGTACCCTCGACCCTCAAAGGATAAACAGTATAGCTAATGAATAACGTGTGTTTGAAGTCTCACAGGAAAAGAATGTGGAAATCACAGAACTGTCTGATACACAGAAATGCTCTCCCAGTTATTCTCACCTCTGACATGTCATGGACCAGGAGTAGAGGCACGGTGACGGTGGTGATGTCATGTGTACAGCAAACCTTCAGGATGTTTCTCAGTCCCATTATGGCTGGGTCCCTCGCCGTGATGTTCCCTGAACGGACGTTGTCGTCCACACACAGGTGGAAGACAGAGTGGACCTCTGACAGGTTGGAGTGCCGCGAGATATAGAACTCACCTTGGGGAAATTAAAAGGGCTGAATTAAAAGATGGACAGGACAAAAAGATACACAACTGCTAGGATCAATAAATCAGTGATTTGTAAATGCGAAACAATATTTTGATAACCATTACCTGGTAAAATGTTAGAGGGATTTCTTTCTACATTTTTGTTCTTATCGTCACCTCCATTCCTTGGAATCTCTGTAATGAAATTATGATAGAAATTTAAAATAAAAATACTACTTCAATCAGTGTGACTGAGAATGTTTCTATATACAGACTGTTTCTATATACAGCCCCTCTCTACCAACCACTATGCTGTGACAGGATCTGGACACTGTCTTTCATCATCATATTAGCAGTGATGTAAATTGGTTTCAACATATGAGATAAAGATGCTATTTCTGATCTTGCAAAACAACAAATCACACAAATGTAAAATCAATATCTAAGTGAATACAATTTGTAAAAACTCTAAGATGGTACAACAACTCGAATCATGCAAATTGGTGTCACAGTAGCATGGCTTAACAAGGCCATAGATAACAATATTAGTCCAGGATATTATAATATATCATGTCTATGATACAGCATATCTGATGTCTAACAAAGGCATCCTCTAGAATAATCAGTTTATTTCAGTCCCTACACTTCATTTTCTGGTACATCCAGGATGATGTAGTGCAACCCTCCGCATCACAAAGCTCGTCTTTCTCCTCGAATGCTCTGTGTACATTACAGCTTAATGAGAAAGTGCAGCATCAAGTCTAACCAGGCTTATCTTTCTGCTTGCTGCTCCGCTGCGCTCTGGCGTAGAGCACCACCTGCTGCACCTCCTCCAGCTGTTCCTCCAGACAGAGAAAGTGGAAGTCTGTGCACTCCTTCGCCACAGTCGCAAAGTCTACAAGTCAGCAGAAAAGAGGCCAGGAGGGAAATCATAAATGAAAAGTGCTTAACTTCTGCAGCTAAATGATTATCACCGCTAGTTTAAAATCTACCAAGGAGCTTATTTCTGTGACTCTGCCTCCACATTACTGCTTTAAAAAAAAACAATAAAATACTTAATGGAATTGAGTGCCTGGTCTTAAAAACACTTCAAGAAGTGTTAATATACTGTGTTATTCTCCCAGTTAAGAAAACCAGTCACGAGCAGCACCAAAATAGAACTTCACTGTGCCAAATCAAAGTCTTACATTCACACAGAACAAAACCTGCCCAAGTGAAAAGAAAAACCATCTATGAAAATCATTGTTACATTATATGACATTCAACATATACCCCTGACCTCTCTTGATGCCACTGTAGGAGTTGACCCTGTTGTCAACCAACAGCACCAGACCACCGAGAGAAGAGGAGTACAGGGATAGAGCCGTTTGTAGCCGCCGCAGTTTCGCTCCACTGCTGCCGTGGTGCCGGTGTTTGCAGAAGTCCAGCACGTCTGCCCGGACCAGCCGCAGGTTGTGCATCGTCTTCAGTTGTGCTCCTGGTAAAAAAAAAATGCACATTACGCATGTTGTTCCACAAATGTGGCAACTGTCATGTTATATCACCTCAAAGCTATGTATGATTGATAGCAGAGAATTTAGAGTTATACTTCAGTCACCTAGGTGGATGGTGAAGCTTTCCTCCAGCTGAGACTGCTCCTCAAACATCCTTGACCCAGAATCGCCGACCTCTGACAGCTGGTTCGGCTGCATCTTAATCTCCTCACTAGTTTTCAATTATGCAAATAAACATTCGGTAAAACAAGATATTAAATACAACACATGTACATTATAGTATATAAAGTATTATAGTAAAAAAATGTAGAGAAACTGATAACCCCTGTTAGATTAGTTTTTATAGATGCCTGTCATAACTGACACTGCTGAGCTAAGCATCAAACCAAGATGAGTTCTGACCTCTTGTGATCACTTCAATTAATATGTAAATGTCGCCCGGCTTCAAAAAGCCAGCAGACATGTCAAGTTTTCAATTAAAACTGCTGCGTGTTTGTAAAGGGTCAGTCTGACCTTGAGCACAGATGGAAAATAGAGACTTTTCCAATAAAACTGATCACATAAGGAATATTAAAGTATTTCATGTTTTTATTTTTATGTACATTTACAAGTCAACAGAGCATTTGTTTTTTATTATCAGTTAGATTCTCTTACTGTAACTTAGCTTAGTCTTCCTGTTTCTTCTTATCTATAAATGAATTATTTCATCAGTGTAAGCAGGGCTGGGGGATATTGCAAAAACCTATGTCCAGATAAAATGTTTCATATCAGTGGATATTAATAATTATTACCACATGTCAAGTTTCAAGACTGATTTTTGCTCCTGTGTGACATTTGGGGTTTAAAACTCCTCTTTCTGGACAGAGAATGAGAAACACTTGACAAATAGAAAAAACTTTTAACAAATCTGAGGTAGATCAATTATGTGTTGTACCTCCTCACTGTGCTTGCTAGGCTTAATCAATGTATAAATAATTTAGAGATTACGCCAAACTGTCAGTGGGTAAAGACGTGCCACTCGATCGCTGCTGTATTTGCAGATTTTATTAATCCGTATTGGAAATGCTGCTTTTCTTTTTCTACCAGCATTCATTAATTTAGACAACAATTTTTTAGCTTTACCCTCAGATTTGAAATTCTAAATCGGATTATCGCAGACCTGAAAAAAAAGCCTGTTTGGGTGTATATGGGTGTAAAGTGAGCCTACCAGAAGTGTGTGCAAAGATTATGTTTCAGTGTACACACAAGTGCAACATGTTAAAAGGCTCTTTTTATAAAAGAGTTTACACAAAACCAACCAAAGAAACTCACTTTATTTTGCTGCTGTTGTTGGATTTCTGTAGATCCTGGTGCAGCTTGATCACCCACTCCTGATACTCCTGCTTTTGAATTTCAGTAACTTGTCTGAGCTCACTCGCCCACTTATTCTCCAGCACCTGTTTGTAAAAGACAGTAGTGATGTTTACATGGACACCAATAAACAGACTATTGACTTTATTCTGAATGGGACATTATTCTGATTATGTATGAATATTCCATTCATAATCCTGTTTACATGTTGAAGAGCAGAGTCTGATAATGACTTTATATTACGTCCAGTTCTCCATACACCCAATGGTCTAAACAGAATTTTTAAATCCCAACCTGAAATAGTTTAATACATGATGCTAACATTTACTCTTTTGAGTGTTTTCTTTCAAATTTTTAGCAAAAGCTCCTTATTATTTTCCATTTTCTTTACACTTACACCTGGGGCATGTATCATCAAAGTTGTCGACACCATGTGTCAATGAAAATAACAAAATGCTTTGAAAACTCCAATAAGATATTATAATGTGATAAAGATGTATTCATGTCTACATAATGCGACTAAGGTCGGACTACTCCACATGTCTTAATTCCATTATCGCTTATTCTGAGCATGACTTAGCATGACATGGGTTACCGTGATCAGAAAATGCTGTTTACATGGCAGCATCTTATTCAGACTATTGTCTTATCCAGATTAATATCAGAATATTGATGTCTGTGTAAATGTGTTAAGGTTCCAACACTGAGGAACTTTAATATGGAACACACAACACAGTTTCAATAAATAGGCCAGATCTAAACTTATTAATGTCAGTCTAACTGAATCCCCTGACACAAATGATAACTGGCTGGAATAAAGGTACCGCTGCTTTTACCACTGCTACAAACTGCAGAGCAATCTGACATCTTTAATTTACCTGCTGTGCATCAAAGTGCTGAGACGCCACTGCATTTACATCGTGGTCACTCATAGTATTTCCCAGCTCGTGCATCACCTTGTCCATTTCAGCTGCTTGCCTGTACGACAGAAAAAAATATATAAATATCGGAATATGTGTGTTTACTATGCAAATGTATAAAGACGCTAAGCAATAATCCCCCTAATACCCACCTCTCCTGAAGCTTCTTAAGCTCCATGTCTCTCTCACTGATGAGCTCGGAGATGCTAACAAAGTAGTTGTGCTCCAAGTTGAGTAGAGTATCTGAGGCAGGGGAGTGGATGAGCTCGTGGTAAACATCGGCAAAGTCCTCATCCCAACTGGGTTCTTCGGGCCGAGCATGTTCCAGTGTAGTCTGAAATGGTGACGGAGGAGAGAAAAGATCTACTTCAAAATGAAACGTGGCAAGAAATTTATATTTCTAATTGAAAAATACCAGAAGAAATTCCACCATCGCACTGCAGGGTTTCTATGACACAACATCAAAGGTGATGAGCTCACTAAGCAGGAAGGATGAAAATAAAACAAAAAGTGTTCCCTATGTTGACAGGAAGAAAAACGAGGAAGGACAAATCCAGGACAGTTGATCCATAATTAGAAAAGCAACACAACCAGTATTCAGAATCCGAAACTCCTCTATTTATACAGGCTGAGGAATCTTCAGTCCACAAACACCACAGACTCTGGAAAGATTCCATGTGTATTTCTGTGCGACTGCAATAAAATGTTGAGGCGTAGTCAAATGTCGTAAATGTCCGAGTGCAGTGGGCCTGAGGGGGTTCACAACATGAGCTGAGGCAGCCGCCGACTTTTTTATCAGCGCCTGAACAGGTGACGGCAGCGCGTCAGTGTAGTTTTCTACAAAACCAAACGATCTTCTTGACCATTGTTAAACATGATATAAGAGACGCTCACCTCCAAAGAACTGCATGAGTGAGCAGACCCTGCTTAATTTAATTAGAAAACCACAAAGTCCACTCTAGGTTTCACGAGACACATTGTTTTGTATTGATCCGTCATATAAAAGTGATGACTCCATTATCAAATACGTGAAACCGCCACCACATATTGGATCTATGGGAAGAAATGCAGCAAGGTGTAGCCAAGTGTAATGAGTAAGTGAAACATTAAATGCAGCACATGGGCTTATGTAATGAGATTTTTTCTTTCTCTCCAAAACTCATGAATAATCAATTTACACATGCGCAGCATTACTCCTATTTGAATTGCTTTAATGGCCCGTGACTGCTGTGAAGTTAGCGAGAGCACTCGAGGACACTTCCCAAACACTCGGATGTGCTACTACAGAAGCACAGAGTAGTGGATATACGATCAGGGTGTGATGAGAAGCCAGCGTCTGAAATTAACTTTATGGAACACCTGCCAAGAAAAAAGCATGCTGTCCGCATTATTAATAGACATTTTTTCACAGAAATACTGTATGTGTCTACACAACTTTAGGAAAGTGGATATAGAATCATGTAATGTTGCTTTCTGATATTAAATGAACGTATTCATAACGTAGGACAGAATAGTAGTTTATCAAGATTCTTTTATTGTTATTATCTTATTATAATTGAATAAGAGAGTTCTATCCAGGGTTTTGGCTCCTTGACATTGCACCAATAAATTATATTTATGAATTATAAATTTTGAAGCCATTTAAGTGGATGATCTTTCTCACTCACTCAACGAATAGAGTAATTACGCTTATGGAATTACTCTCAAAACAAATTATATCTCATTACTTAACAACAGCCACAGCTCTGTGTAATGTGAGTGACTGAATACAATTCAGTAAAAAGGAGCTTTCCATGTTTTAACAAAACCACAGTCACCTTGTCAGTCATAAATGTGATAGATGTGTTGCATACAAGTACACAATCATATCCCAACACCAGCTATGTCTAGAGCCTTCCATGATTCAATATGGATATGAGATGCTATAACCAATAAACAGCTATTAGAAAGGCTGACATGTATTTTTGGCACTGTAACACATTGCCATATGTTATCACCTCCATGTAAGACCTGCTCCATGCATTAGTGAGCTGGTTTACATCCACATCCCCTGTGGTGAGTCTCTGCAGGGCCAGCTCTGCCTCTCTGTCGAAGTCCAGGATGGTCTCATTCTCAATGAAGTTGGAAAGTGAGGTTTTCAGCTCTATGGGAAGAGATGCATACACAGCATAAATCAGTCATTTAAAAAAAAAAATCATTTCCAACGTGCCAAGTGGTACACTGCAAAATCAATGGGCTGGATCGATTCCATCAGTTCAGATTTCAAACTAACAGCATGCCTGCTGGCAACACTTTCTTTTTCCCAGGAAGGCGTCTGGAGTGAAACTATTTCACTGGATTCGGGTAAAATAAACTAAATCTCATTTTTCCTGTCCAACTGGGTTGATATGGATAACAAATTTTAGATGGATGATACAGAGAGATGTTAGCTGAGGACAGAAGGTACGGCACTAGTCTGAAATTGCCAGTAATAATGATAATGATCCTTTTGTTATTTCCTACATTCCTGCACAGAATTTGGTTTCTGGAGCAGGAACAAAGACCTTAAGAAAGATGATATGACATATGTAACAAAGATTTCACACAAAAACTGACACGCTCCCCTGAATAAATGATCATGTTTAGGATACAGGTGGTTAATGTTAGGTTAGATTACACCTAGGATTTGCCAAACGCAGCAAACAAAGTGGAGATTGAGAAATGCAAAAGAAAACGTTCTCACCATTTTCTATGTAGCAAGGAATTTTATGAAGCAGCATCAGGCGTCCGTGAAGGTCACTGATGTTCTCTTGCACGGGAAACCTCAGAGGCACTTTGAGGACACAGTTGTGTTTTCCTGCCCTGAACTCAAACACAAACTCCTTCTCAGCAACACTGGCCGTTTTCCCTTTGTTCCTCTTCATGGTCACAGCTGGAAAACAGAGGGGAACAGTGAAACTAGACTGGAAGGAACTGAACACAAATCTGTGTGGAGATACTGCTCTATAGCTAAAATTGTCCACCAGTGCCCAATTGATAAAAGTGCACAGCCTAATTGACTCTCATACAGACATGCCTGCATCCCCTCACATATATCTTGTCTTCCAATAAATTAAATTATGCACTAATGTCCATATTTTTAAGGAATTTCCCAATTTGGGATCAATAAAGTATATATCGCTAGACAACACAGGAAAAAGAGTTCAACATGTTGTACAGGAAACACAATGACATCAATTCATTGTTAAATACGCCATGTGAGTGACTAACTGGAAGCAGACACGTGTTTCTCAGTGTTTACTGAATTCAACGTGATAAATATCAGATTCTCATCGCGACTCTTTAGCTCGTTGACGTCCCTGGCTCCAGGTTGGCTCCAGGTTAGCTAGCAGCACAGCTAACGTTCAGCAGCCCAGCGAATGAAATGACAAAAGAAAGGCGCTCGGTGGTGAGCCAGCAGGAAGCAGGGTTTTCATTCTTTAAGGAGAGAATCTAACCTCAGAAGCGACAGACTTGCCTGAGTTTGAATGAACAGTATTTCATGTGTTTCCTGTGTGAAGAGCAGCGCTGTTTGGTTGGGTCAGCTGACCGCTTCACTGCAAAGCTGTGTGACAACGACAGCACTTTCTTACATTTTCTGGGTTTCTGGGTTATCGATTGCGTATTAAAACTGACATTACATACGCAACAAGAAAAATTAAGAAGTTTATAATTCTGTAAAATATTTTCGTTAGTCGGTTTTATGTACAAAGAAGATTTACAGAGTGACGAATCTGCTGTTGCCAAAGCTAAATTCACGAGAGGTTGGGTTTCCTTGTGCACTGCCGCCCCCTGCTGGCCAAAGTTGGTTCACGGTGGATGTTTATGAATGAAACTGACATTTCTTGTTGATGAAAATATAGAAACTATACAAGTAAAGAATAATAGAAATGATGCAGCACTGTAACTGTGTATGAAGATCATTGTAGGAAGTTGGAGGGGTGGGAAAACATTCACGATCAATTTAAATTTTACCTATACAGTGTATTTCATTGGAAGAAAACTCAATGTGCTTCATATTGAAAGAATACATGAAAACAAAATACAAGTATGCATATATATATATATATATATATATATATATATATATATATATATATATACTTGTATTTTTACATATGTATATATATATACATATGTAAAGCTGTATACTACAATTTAATCGTTTGGTGCTCACAGTATAGTTACTCAAAAAGCAATTTTAACAACAATGCATTCATGTTTTGTAAGGAGTGCATTAAAAACTATTAGATGAGTCTTTCAAATAAAGTCATCAGGCCATTACCCTTTTAATAAACCAATGAGATATTACCTGAACCCTAAACGATCATCTTATTCTCTGGGCAGCCCGGAAGTTACACCACTGTTTATATGAATATGCATATTAATATAATAATACTTATCACCTCTGTGAGTTCAATTATTGTTTAAACATAATACAAATACTTAACAACCCCGTTAGTTACATTATTGATTACATATAAGAACTTATAAGTTCTTATATGTAATCATACTTAAAAACTCATTCACTTTTAAATAGCGTTTCATCTGATCCATATAAATATATATACAGCATTTATATATTTATACTTTATAATACATTCGTATCGAAGAGCAAACATGAATGAAATACAAAATCTTGAGCGGACGTGTGTGGCTGAGGGAGGGTACTTGTGCGTGCACGATCATAGGCGCGCGCGCGTGTTTACTTCAAGTTTGAGTATGTAAGGGACATGTGTAACGTTATCCCTGCTACAAAAATACGTAAAATCCTTATTTCACCACCTAGAAAATAAGCGAGTACCTACATAGTTACACTGAATGAATATGTTAAATATGTCGCCGGGTTAAGAACTTTTCAGTGGTTTAATCTTTTTTTTAAACACGCTTTTGTGTTGTTACACGCTTTTGAACCGGTGTGACTCTTCGCAGACGATCCCTGCAGCGGTTGAACCGTCCCGTCATACCTCGCGTGGCCAACGGCTCAGCACGGAACCCCGGATCACTGAACTGCTGCTCCAGCCTCAGCGCCTCGATCCAGGACTCTCCGAGGAGACAAACCCGGGTCCGACGAGCTCAGACAAACACCTGCTATCCGCCACACACTCCCCCCGGCCTGCTGTTCAACTGACCGCGGTGGTGGGGCGTGCTTTCCGGGGCTGGCTGGCTGGGTTTGGTCGGGGAGGCAGCAGGGGAAGCACGGAGCTGGTCCCGGGCGATGATGGAACTGGAGTCGGCCAGTAACCGAGGCGAGCCGGGGGCAGCGGGGGACTCGCTGCAGCCGCCGACCCCGAGCAGGCACGAGAAGAGCCTGGGTCTGCTCACCACCAAGTTCGTGACTCTGCTCCAGGAGGCGAAGGACGGGGTGTTGGACCTGAAAGCGGTGAGCATGGAGCCCGGAGTCTTTGTTGTTAGCTAGCACATGTCAACATGAGCCCCATCGCTGTCGTTGGGCTTCATGCACTTTCGTTAGCTCGCCTGTTAGCCTAGCCTAGCCGTGTGACAGGCTAATTTGAATGGGCTTTAATCACCGCCATGTAGCTGGGTTCATTTTAAAGATTAAATACTGTTTACTTGGGATTTCACGTGTGTGAAAGTGCAGCGGAGTGAGATTATGAACTGAACCTCGAGGAAACCGGTGAACTTTCCCCACTCTGCCCCCCGCAGTCTCACAGTGTAAAAAGTGGGTCATCTTTTGTCGTTCCCCTTGTGAGCTAACGCGACTGCATCTTCACACATGAACAACTTTTCTCTGATTCACAACGTCAAGATCATTTAACAGCTCACTCCGATTGGTATAGTTATTCAAAAAGCGTGTGATTTCAACGACAATGCATTCATGTCATGGCTAAAAGTACTTTAAATAACACAAGATGAGTCTTTCCACTATAACATTCAGGCCATTACCTTTAAATAAACTATTATCTAATTCTCTGAACAGCCTGTTAGTCACATTACTGTTTATATATAACATAGAAATACTTTACACCCCCTGTTAGTTACATTACTGTTTATATATAACATAGAAATACTTTACACCCCGTTAGTTACATTATTGTTAATATATGATTACATATTAATACTTAAAACCCTTCTCAGCCAGTGACACCAAGTCTCAAACTCATTCACCTTAAATTTGGGTTTCATCTAAATCCTAGATTAATAAAAACAAATATAATTATTGTAACTTAATTCACAGAGCACTTTTCAACACCATGTTGCTACACAACAAGAAAACAAATGGTTTAAAGACAGAAGTAAGTACATAGTTGCTAATGTTATTGGGGATAAAACCAATAATACAAATTAAGACACTTAACCAAATATCATAATAAATAGCAGCATTTTTATCAAACACAGCCATCCATGTTTTTTTCTCTCTCTGCCAGAACCAGAGAACCAGATGGGAGCTTGAGCAGCCAAGCATTACTTGACATAACAGAACTGTTTCCTTTTCACTGTGACCTCAGTGACTTGGCGGACAGATTGGCTTCATAGCTGCTGAAACTCGTGGAGGCACTTTGCTTTGCTAATAACAATAAAATACCAGCCACCACTTGTGGGTTTGTTCCCTCGTGCTGTCATTTCAATAAAACAGTTGAATGAATTCTGAAACAAAAACACATAACCACAGAAGAGAGATTAGCTTTCTTATATCAGATATTATCTCAAACGTCAGGTGAATGATGTGATAATTCCATTCAAACTTACTTTTAGACGCAGTAAGGAGTCGCATGGAGAGCTCGCATTGGAGTCTCTTTATAAATAAGGGTTTGGTATGCATATTGATTTTAATTATATTGCCTCTCACTTGTGACTCCCACAGCCACACTGAAGCGAGTCTATATTTTCTGCATTAATGAATAATAAATATATGTAATGTGAACTATTGAATAACAATCCTTATAATTTACTGTCATTAAGCAGGTCTGCGACTTTTTTACCCACAGGGCCTGCTGTCAAAGCCGAGGCTTATCAGCACCAGCCTTATGGTTGTCATTAGTTTGTTAAACTCTTAAGTGTTTGGGTGGTGGAACTTTTTGGTTGTGGGGCATTGAACTTGTTGGCACTGAAACAGCAGTCCCTTTTTGTATGTGCTCTCAGTTGAGTGAGAGTCTGCTGAAGGAGATTGCAGTAATCTCAATTGTATTTTTTATTACTTTTGTTCTGTCACTCAGGCTGCAGACACCTTGGCAGTGAGGCAGAAACGACGTATTTACGATATCACTAATGTGCTGGAGGGAATAGGACTCATTGAGAAGAAATCCAAGAACAGCATCCAATGGAAGTAAGTCGACTGTGCATTGTTTAGTGTCAGGAAACTCGTTCCATAACTACACAGGGACTAACAATGACAAAAACAACAGTATCCAAAAGAATGTCTTTGTTTTCCCTGCACAAAAAGATGATGTATATTTTCATTGCAATTGTGAATTGAAAAAGTTTTCCTCCACAATTTGCAAAGTGAGGGCTGATTATACTGTGGAGTTTTGTCCTGACCTCACAAGGCATTTATCACAGAAATGTGAACGTGTTAAGGTAATGAGAGTGCAGACCTGTGTGACACCATACTGTTAAACATGTGTCTTATAAGCATGTGAACTAAACCCTTATCACGTCGTCCATGTTTTCATGTAACATGAAAATATTAAAGCTGTTTAGAGACGACTAATGAGATGATTCTTCTGATGGCATATAATCCACGTGCGTGCTTCTGTTTTTGTATTGATCCATCTGTGTGATAAACATGCACATGATAGTGTGACTGTATTTGAGTTATAGAGAAATTACTTTGTTTTGGCTCTTTATGCCCACTGGGTTTGAAATTAAAAATGAGGATGAGGGAAAATGTTATGAATGAAATGTTAAATCAAATATATATTATATATTATATCTATCACTATAGATATAATATATATATATATATATCTATAGTTCAAGCTGCGGTGAACTACATTAGTCAGAACGAAATCCCCTTCTTAAAGCAGCTATATCCGCTGTCGTCAAACTTATCAGAGCAAATGAATCATTTGCCAAGACAACGTGAATAAGAAAGAATCCTCTTACTTGTATCAATGATTAAATAGTGTGTTCATGAGTGTGTGTGAGTCTGTACTTTGCCTGCACGTGACCATGTATTTGTCTCTTGTATTTTAGGGGTGTAGGTCCGGGCTGTAACACCAGGGAGATAGCAGATAAGCTGATTGATCTGAAGGCAGAGTTGGACGATCTGGCTCTCAGGGAACACGAGCTGGACCAGCAGAGAGTCTGGGTTCAGCAGAGCATCAAGAACGTCACAGACGACTCCAACAATAGTCCATATCCTTCACTGCACACTGTGTTTGAGTCCATTCCAGTTTGAAACAGTTTTCCAGTGATATATCCAATGGCCAGCACGAGTTCAACATGTGTGTTTCTTTAAGCCGAACTACAACTATGTGACCACTTGGCTTGATCACTTGGGTTGTTCTTTCCTCCAGAGCCACAGATGTTATTCTTGTCAACATTTCTGGAGATGCGTCAGCTGTAATAAAAGCACATCTGATAAATATAGTGCTGTTAATTTCACCTGTTAATGGAAAATACGTAGTGAATTTACTGACTCACAGCAGTAGCAGATTGCTGACTGCAGAGGAACGTTGGTACTGACGTTCAGCCAGGGTCTTTTTTGTTCTGCATAGATTCGACAGCCAATTTTATCCCAGGGATAAAGTGCTCCTGAACAAGTACAACAGTGTTAAACTGTGTGAAAACATTTGCAAACATGTAGTTATGAAGTCCTCACTATGCTCATAATAGTCGTTTGCTCGGTGTAAAAAAAAAAAAAAAAAAATCTACTCATGGCCGGTATTTTTGTGCATATGGTCGCCGGTGGCACAGAGCAACAATAGATATGATGACAAAACAGAGAAATGTATCCAATCTCAACACCATCTGGCATCTCATAGTGGATTATCCAAGGCATTACATCCACACAGATTCTGCCAGCTCTGTCCTGGCTGTTTAAAGGTGCCCTCCACTCATTTAACACCTAAAAATCATGGAGAGTATTACTTGTAATTACAGCTATATTTTGACTTCAGTGCTCCTGGAAGAAGCTTAATGAAGTCTGAGAAAGTAACCTGAATGATGTCATCAGTTGTTTCCTTGTTGGAAGCAGACATTTAGTTTCAGTAAAGCAAGAATAGGCAAAAACTACTGGAGCGATTGCCACATGGTGGAAGGGTGCAATATGGGTCAGGGAAGAAACCGTTTCATTTTGGTATAGCTCCCTGATCAGTTTTTTAACATTACAAGAGAGGATGTTTTTCAATATTTTCATTGATTTCTCAGAGAATAATTCATTGATCTTGATTGAATCAGGCACAAGACTATCTATGACATTTGGTGCAGTAACCTGTCCCTGGTAAACCTCATCATATTAAGTACAAAGCTGTATCTTTGACAAACTTTGCTGCAAGGAACCTTAACATGTGTATACTATGGCATATGTAAAACATGAAGACCTCTGTGGAGCCTTTAAAGGTATTTTTCAAAATGATCTCTTTTCATTCTCATTTCTGTTACATGTGTTAACACTTATCACAACTAATCATTTCTTTATTTTGCAGGTGACACACTTCTAGCAATTCGCGCTCCCATCGGCACACAGCTAGAGGTGCCCATACCAGAAGCTGTAAGTGTGGTGTGCTTAGAGTGTAAGTCATGTCCACTTCTTTTGTCTCGTGTCACTGATTTGAGTGTCTGTGTTTATCCAGGTCCTCAATGGGCAAAGGAAATACCAGATCCGTCTCAAGAGTTCATCTGGTCCCATCGAGGTTTTGCTGGTCAATAAGGACCCGTCCAGTGCCTCTCCTGTCGTTCTGCCCGTCCCTCCTCCAGATGACGTCCTTCAGAACCTCCCAGCACCACCTACCTCCCAGCCAGTCACTGCTGCCTCACAGGTCCACAAAACTGTTACCTATCACTTTGCAATTACCGCTATCTCGCACCCTGATTACTTAAGCACTGTTCAATGTTGACTGGATATTCACTCTCAAAACATCTGTCTTTATTGAGGCAGTAAAGAGGACGAGAAAAAGAAACTGATCCCAAGATTGCAAAATTTAGGCTAAGGCTCTACTGAGAGCCATTCTAGTTTTTTAATTATAGCCTATTGTTTTTCGTTGTGCATCTCTCCACCCTGCAGGTCCCTAAATCAGCTCCAGTCCCTTGTACAAAACCTGGTCCTGCCACAACATCAGACTCAGTGACAGGTAGGGGGTTTCAACACATTTTACTGTCAAAGATAATTCCCTTTCATAAAATCTCCTCATTTCAACTGAATCATTTGTAATTGTAACATGATATCAGGCCCCACTGTTACCATAGTAATTTACAGCGTGGCGTGGCTTTTGTTTTATTTCAGAAGTGACGAGCACGACGCCACTCAGCCCTACAACAGATACGCCTGCTACAGTCACTCAGCAGCTTCAGTCTTCTGCCTCATTGGATGGATCTGCATCCTCTTCTGCTTCTGCAATATTTGAACCAATTAAGTCGGATCCATCTGAATGTAAGTCTCTGAGCCTCAGTCCATGTGACATCTGTTCTTAAGAATTGAAGATGTATAATGTTGAAGAAAACACATACCCATAGAACTTGAATAAGAAATAATTATTATAACATTATTAAGGTTAAAGTAAGTTATTCTGTAAGATTAAAGTTTTCATATCTGCAAATACTAACACCAATACCATTATGTTTGAAAGGCTCATGTCGGCCCCCTAAGTAACAACTCTGTCGGGCTCTGCACTTAACTATGTTTCTGTATAGCTAACAATTCCGTTTTGGTTCCCTTCTAGTACTGGATTTCCCCAAAGACCTCTCAGAAATGTTTGATCCAACAAGAGGTAAACATGTCTTTAGTTTTTCCACTAATTAGATTTTTTCTCCTCCACTGACTGTGCAGTTACTTGTGTCACATCTTCTCAGTGTGCTGCAGATTGACTTTTAAAAAAGGTTACTCAGTCCTGTTCTCTCTCTGACAGAGATCATAAGCGGAGATTTGCTGGAGGACTTGATGTCATCAGAGGGTACGTTTGCTTACAGTCACACTGATGGTGAAGCAAATGACAAGTACTGTAAATGAATTAGTTGTATATAGTCTGTGTAACAAAGAGGCTTTTCCAGACATGTCAGCACAAGTCTTCTTTTTATGCATCTTACGTGTCTCATCTATTTCTTTTGTCTGTTTCACCTCCAGTGTTCTCGCCGCTCCTCCGTCTGTCCCCTCCGCCCAGCGACCACGACTACATATACAACCTGGATGAGACAGAAGGCCTGTGCGACCTCTTTGACGTGCCCATTCTCAACCTCTGACCCCTGAGATTTTTGTCAGAGTGGGAAACCGTTGCCCTTACATGCTGATCTACCTTCAGTGTCCCCCCCCCCCCTCACTGACATTGAAGGTAAGAGGAGGTGCAGGGAAGCCAACATGATCTCGTGAGCCTTCAAGGACACGTCTGCACTGACGCGGTGAGCTCAAGCTGAGCTTCACCAGACAGTAGCTCGATGTTTAGCCTCATGAAGAAATTCAGATGAGAACAAAATGTTTTATTCCCTTCTTTTCCAAGGAAACAGAGTCACAAATGGCAAATAATTATATTTTTGGATTCTTGTGTATTATAAATCCTTATGTTTATGTTTATTAGCTTTCTCGTGAGCGAATGTGTGTCAGCATTCTTTACATGTGGTTGGTTGTGAGTCTGTGTGCCTGCTTGTTGTTTTGTATTGAACACTCTTATTCTGAGTCAGACATCTGCAGGTAAAAAAAAAAAAAAAAAAGAGAAACCTATCGGAGCATAGCCTTTATCACCTGGCAGCTGCTCTCACGTGGCTTAAACGAGTCCAAACTTAGCTGGTGAAATATGCACTGTCCTCATGTACATAGAGAATATATATTTTGTAAAACCAGCACGCAAGATTATTGTGATATTATGAATGACACAGGCAGAGCAATAGATACCAGACACAGGTGATCATACTGTTCGTATGAAGTGCTTTGTTTTAAATAATGGTGCTGGTCTTTGGCCCCGTTCAAATCTGGTCCTAGCATCCGTCCCGAGAAACCTGATCATAAGTGAACAGCGCTAAGTACACAGTGACATTAAAATACGTCCTGAATGTGTGTCCTGTAATCACCTGTCAGGTCTGAGTTTACGGATGTCACTTTCTGTTTGTTTGTGGCGTGCAACAGAAAGAAAGCAAAAAGAGCTGGGCACAGTGCCGCGTATCCAAATGTGAAGTGAATAAATCGCTGATCACATTTCGCCGAAGTTGAACTCCACGCGAAGCCACAATGTGATTTGCCTTAACGTTCTATTCGCCCCCACGCTCCACGTATGAATGAATGTCTGAAGCTTTTTTAGAAAGATTTTACCAATTTAAGAAAAGAATCAGTCATTCTGTGGTGATCGGTGTTGAAGTTGTGGCGCTGGCTAAAGGCAAATCAACTTTTTGGCGCTGAGAAGCTGACCACTGACCTGCCGCAGTCTTCATTTGTTATGAAACTGCGGCAGGTCAGTGGACAGTAGGGTAGTTGATCCTCATATGTGGTCCAGTATTTGTGTTCACACAAATAAAAGAATGTTGCCACCTCCGAATGTTAGTTTGAGTGATCGGATCTCCGAACTTAGCGCTGACCACTTGTCATCGGATCAGTCAGGACAGATGTTAATACCAGGCCCGTTTGGACGGGGCTTTGATTCCAGTGCCAAAGTGATAAGAAGGAGAATCTTTGATACTATTGAAGCCAATTAATTTTATTACGTAACAAGCCACGGACCAAAAGGAAATTGCAGGGCTGTTGGGGGGTGGGGTTTAGAATACTACCATTTTGCATTCAAACATTTTGTTAAACAAGGTGTTTTCAAAATAATAATGCCTCATATAAACTCCACATTATGACTTTATGATCATGTTCTTTAACTGGTTTAATATTGGCACTCCTACACATTGAGGTCGATTATAACGAAAAAATATATAAATAAATAAAAGTAAGCATGCTTTCAGTTTCATTTTGCATCAGTACCGTTACTATCAGAACCTTTCAGATTTTCATTGGCTCAGATTCAAATGTAACTGGTGTACGTCACAGAAAAAAACTTTTTTTTCCTTCCCCTTTCCTAAACAAGTTCTTTGGCATTTGTCTTTCAACTATAATGTATGTATATAAACACCATTGTACTCAGTTCATCTTTATGTAAAATGACATGTATGTATTTCTGATGTATTTTTACTGATGCAGTGAATATAGTCACCAAGTCATTAAATATGATCCAGTTCTTTTGTATATTTGGCACAACTCCCTCTTTAAAAGGTTTTTCATATTTCCCAGTCTGCGCTGTGTTCATGCTTATTGCTCTAAATTACTTCTCTCTGTGCAGGGGACGGCTGATGAGTTGTTCAGAGTCAAACTGTAAAATATCAAGATAATTCTTCTTTCTACGGTGCTTTCTCCCATCAAATCACTTTGTGTAATAATATCCTATTGTTTTTTTGCCCGGGATGACGTATGTATGTACAGTATGTACTGTGTATATCCTTCTCTACTGCTTGTATAGAATAGCATTTATTTTTTATACCTGCTAGATATATTATCGTTGCTACTAATTCGGGGCTACACAGAAATCTGCTTTATCGAAGCGTCCTGTTTGATCGTTGCACTTTACATCACTGTGGATCGACTGGTTGCTGCTCATCCTCTCAGCAGCCGGTCAGCGTGTTCGGGCAGCGTTGTGAGCAGCCGGGGGTTCAGCAGTCCTGGGTTGGATGGATCATGTCCGTGTTGTGGCATGTGAGACTCGAACCTACGGACTGTTTTTTTTTAAACAGGCTCACTATTGTTAAACTGTAGTTGCATCAAAAGATACAGAATAAACTCTTTGGTATTCTTTATGTACCATCTGGTTTCCTTTTCAAATCATTCAATTATAATTGTTGATGTTTGTGCAGGTGAAGGTTTCCATAAAGTTCAACTGAGCAAAATTGAGAAGTTATGTTTGGGGTATGTTTATATTTACATCGACCTGCTTAAAAGCATTTGAAAGAGAATATCTTACACAAAGAGTAACAACAAGATGAAAATGTAACAACAAATAGGATAAGAGTTGGAAAATATGAGCTGTTTAACAGGTTTGCTTTTAATTAAATGTGTTTTATCTCTGAACATCAATATAACTTGCAACTGAAAGGGGAGAGCTGCACATTTCTATTTTACTAAACAAACTTAGCATAGCAATCAGATCAGACAGTAGCTCGATGTTCAGCCTCATGAAGAAATACAGATGAGAACATTTTATTTGCTGCTTTTCCAAAGAAACAGATTCACAATAAATGACAATTAATTATTTTGGGATTCTTGTGTCTTATAAATCCTTTTGTTTGTGCATTAGCTTCTCCTGAGACTGTGTAAGCATCCTTAACGTGCATGTGGTTGTGAGTCTGTGCCTGCTCGTTGTTTTGTATTAAGAACACTCTTATTCTGAGTCAGACAATCGTGGTCATTTGCAGCTGATGTCACACAGCCTCTTATCGTGCACGTCTATTTTGCAGTTACCAGACAAACTTACATAGCTTCCTGTGGATTAGGGTACATTATGACTTAAAGGGTCAGTATGTAAGATTTAGGTGAACATAAAATAATCCTAGTGAAGTTTCCACTATTGTGTTTCATCTAAATTGTACAAATTGTTGTTTTCTTTACCCAAAATGGGCCCTTTATATTTAAGTACTTTATAACTACATCACATACGGTATATTAATATCACTAAATTCTACACACTAAACTAAAGTGCATCAGTCAACTTGTTGTGCAACCAAATCCTCAGTATGGTCGCCACACTGCACCTCGTAGATGTGGCGTCTTTAAGTCAGTGTATGATGAGGAATGTGGCTTCATTACATGTAAAGGAAGGCACCACAGACAGTTGCTGTATATATTAATATACATCAACATTTCCTGAAGTCATTTCACCCAGTGGGCACTTTTGTCTCATGTCCTTGCCTGTCTCACCCTCGCCTCATTTCCTGTCAACTCTCTGAGATTCTGTCACACCCGGTGTCTATAACGAAAGTATTACGACAACCAATACATTATAATATATGTGTACTACACATTTTATATGCATATAAAAAGACAGAAATTGCATGTCTCTGCAGTGGAAGACATTGGGTGGTTGTATCTTGTTGATGTTGTTGGATGTTAGTGATGTGCTAAAGGGCACTTCAGCACAACAGGAAGGCTACTGAAGGCCACACATTGTTTACAATGGCCTGACTATGTAATTGATCATAACAGAAACAATGAAAGTCCCAGTTTAAAGAAGTCAAACGCTCTGAGACGAAGGGGAACAGCAGGGGGCAGCTGCAGCCAACTGTACCGACCCGGAACTTTGAATGAATCCATCTACTAACTTCTTGGAAACTTGGAAGAAACTTTAGTTTAGTTCAGAATAAACAGCACGAGCATTTCCACTATTTGTGTTGTCAGTCTTTCAAAATAAAAGCCCCCTGTCGGTCGTGTACCACATTTTTTTAATGATAGCGGTCATACAGGTAACTCACAGAAAGGATTGAAAGTACGATATGTCATAGATGAATACAAATTGAATCGAATGCATTGGAATTAATATGTAGAAATGTTTACTTTCTCGTGCTTTGTTATGCCCACTGATACGCTAGTGCGCATGGTTTTTTATTTTGAAAATCAAAACCGGAAAAGATGTGTCACGGTCCGAGTGCTTTGACTCAAAGCTTCGACTGAACGACTCGGACCAACCCGGAACTTTAAAGTGACCTAATCTCTCCTGAAAACTCGTAACGAGGAGTTTCCCTGCTGCTGCTCCCACCGCTTCAGGTGTGTCTCTGAGAAAAATTCACTTTTCACCTGGAGATTTTTTCTCCTGGAGGCGAAATCAAACTTCTTCCAAATGTGTGAGGCTGCGGCGGCTCCTGCAGGACAGTAGCCTCGACTCGTCTTTTCTCCCCAGGTAAGGACGCAGACAGAGAGAAAGAGAAAACTCTAGATACCTCACATTTAGTTCACACACACACGAAGTCCAAGACATTTATTTATCTGCACGTTCACTTCTACACAACTTCAGCTTGAACGTTTGTGGTGAACATTATTTGCAGCTGCATAAAACATAAAACTACTCCATTACTGTAAATACTGTTCAATACTTTGTGGATACACAGTATTTTACCACTTCCTTCTGTAATAGTAATCCAGTGTTTCTTTTGTCTCCATAATATGTATATAAATCTACATATGTATGTATATATGTGTGAGTGTATACATGTGTTGGTACATACATGTGTATGTACATATGCATATACATTCAAGGAGGCGTGTGATATAAGATATATACACAAAATTGTATATATGCCTATGCCCTTGTGTGTGAGTACAGTATATCACTAATGTGTATATGAGTGTGTATATAAATGTGTATGCATATATATGTGTATATGTATGCATTTGTACATATATATGTATATAAATGTATAAATATAAAAGTGTATATGTGTGTATGCATATTTAGACACATATGTGTGTGTGTGTGTGTGTGTGTGTGTGTGTGTGTGTGTGTGTGTGTTACCCTGTCAGGTTAGGAATTTCAGGCAGCTGAGATCTCCCCCCTTCTCTTTCCCTCTCTCCCACACACACACACACACACACACACACACACACACAGGGGGTGGGGTTGGGGAGTGTGTCAGTCCAGGGGGTCTCAGACTCACACTGGGTCTGCAGACTAACAAAAGGTCCGGCCGTGCTTGTGGTTTTAAGCCTAATGAAGCAAACTGCTCAGAGAAGAATTCAGACACTGACAGCTGCTGAACTCTGGGAAATTTCATTTTATATCTATTTGAAGTTCGAGCGTTTCAAGTGATCAAACCTTTTAGAGTTTACTAAGAGTGTGATCTGTGAAATGATATTGACTTGTCTTTACCTTGTACTCTGAGGGGAAACAGTCTGTCTATGTATTGTTGTAACTGAATGGCAATTACACAGTGAAACATGTTTATTCAAACTGAAATGTTTTTTCTAATTGAATATGGCCAATAAAATGTATTTGAATTATAGATAAATCTTTCAGCTACTTTCTCATTTCATTGATTGATATTTTATTCTGTAAAATGTAAAACGTAAAAGCTCAAGTTTTCAAATCGCGTGTTTTGTTAAAAAAATATACATATATATTTTTTTATTGTAGAAAAATGGCAAATGTTCACAACCAGTTCATTTTGGAAGTAACATTTTTTGACTACTTTCGGTTTTGCTGGAAGTTAATATATCCACTTCATTAACTATTAATGTTCCATCAAACTATTTGTTTGAAGGCCGACAGGCAGACACAGACTGTGGAGTTTCAGCTGCCACAGACAGGTACAGACCCTGACACACACTCAGTGGTTAACCTCTGTGGAGACTGAGAGAAAACAGAACAAAACTCCCTCTATCTTCTGCTTATTTAAGAAAATGAAACAAGTACTTTCACATTTTCATACTGATCAGCAGCTTTTCTGTTGAGATATATAAAACAAAGAGTGACAGTATTTCAGCAAAGCAGAAATATGTTTGACATGTGATTCTAAATAATTCACACAATCGTATTAAATTAATTTAATGAGTCAGTTACAGGTAACAACACTTTACTCGGCTTGTTTGTTTTTTGCAGCTGTGAAACTGAGACAAGGCTCAAGGTGTGAACTTGAGTTTGTTGTTTGTCTTGATGTGATGAAGAGATAATGTCAGTGAGGACTTACTTCTACACAGAGTTAAAACGAGGCCTGCAGCATGTACAGACACGTCGTGATGACTTCAGGCTAATAGAGCTTTGTACCAGGAGGCTGGAAATCTGCTGCACTGGAATGTTTTAACTCTCGGGACGTTTGAATCTGACTTTGTTTAACGCTGCAGCAGAGAACCAGTGTTTTTCACAGCAGACACTTTGTGGGAAAGGCTCAGCAGTACTGATAACATTAATAACGACTCTGACTAAAGATAGCTACTCATTTTGACATGTCACTCAGTCATATGTGGTTTTACTGTGACATGTCAAAATGTTTACTGTGAAAAAGGAATTGTATATTTTTATTGCTGTGTTCACATGATAGTTTTCTCTTTCCTGTAGTTGTGGACACGTTTCTTGTATCTTCTAATATTAGTGCCGCCTGTTGCTTGTCTGCTGTCTTCGTCGAACCCATCTCAAATTCCTACTGGCTCGTAAAGCCAGGGTGTCATCTCGTTCTGATGGAGTTCGAGGAATGGCGAAATATTTTCCCAGCCTTTGTTTTATGATTCCAACTTTATTAAAAAAACACTCAAAGAAACCCTGAAAACAATATCTATTCCATCTTTGACCAAATAAAGTTTGTGTTCACATATGATCCCATGGTTCAGTGTAAGTGGCTGATCAACAGGTTTTAGGACCTTTAACCATTATTCTAAATGATTTTATCTCCCTGATGTAGAATTTGTTGTTTTCAGACAACTGGTTTTGTTGGGGTCAAATTCATTCACTCTTTGTATTGTAACCCACCCGATAATGTGATGTTCAGCTGATGATGCTCTACAGCTCAAACACATACCCAGATTAAAACCCACAGACAGTCTTTGTCGTTGCAATGACAGGACATGTGTTTACCCACTTTGCCCTTGTGTCTGCTGACTCATAATCTGCCAAGAACAAACCTACATCCCCTAAATCTCTTGAAGATTAAGTCTGCAAACCGTTGTTGTTGTTTGTTGGAGAGAAGTTGATGTTCGGCAGCAGTTTACCAGAATTCTTTCAGCACCTCTGGGTTTTCTTTTCTGTCAAGTCTCAATTATCCTCAAATAAACAAACACTGTCCTGTTGATCTAAATCATCTTCCCTGCTGTGCCCAGCTTTGAAGGCGCCCTACATCAGGAAAGACGCTGCCTCAGGGCGAGCGAGGTGAGACGACAGTAAAGGCGTGTGGTTGGTTTGACAGGAGCATTGCTTTGAAACGTGCCATAAACTGTGAGGTCTGTCTCTTTGTCACAGGGCAGTGAAGCTGTGTGAGCTTTCCAAGAGATCACGCAGAGGGTGGGGTCTATTAATCACACCAAACACAAGCAGGCACAAGCTCAACCTCCTTTCTGTCATTGTGAGCTGCTGGCGAGTGTAACAGAAGAATTTACATCCAACTGTATTGTTTCCATGTGGCTAAAGTGAGGGAGAAACGCAGAAGGACGAGGAAGGGGGAAGGGTTGGGAGCACAACAACAGCGTCTTCTGTATCCTCTGGGAATGCTCGTCTGAAGGTTGAGGGAGAAGTGTGTCTGTGAGTTGGAAAGGAGTGTGTGAACAATTCATAGTGCATGTGTAGACAGCGCCCATCTCAGTTTTACTCACTGCACCATAAATACACAGGGAAAGAGGAACACAATGTTCCTCAACTTCATACTGAAAATGACATTCACTCTGACTGACACGAATCATTCATGAAAAAACCCACGCTCCGTTCACACTTCCAGAAACTGCTCCTGTCGTTTTTACGCGGTTACATTTGAAAATCTGTGAATTATCCGGAGCAGCACAGCCCACATGTCTGTGAAGGATGAAATCTATGAGCTGTCCTCAACTTGTCTGTGTGGAATGAGCTGTTTGTTTGGTCTGTAGTGATGCTGCAGTTTTTCTCCCTGAAATTGTGCCAGTAACCTGCAGTGATTAAACCGCTGTGAGCAAACACCGACTGTCTGACTCAGGCCACGAACGGTTCACCTGTTAATTCAAAGGTCAGTGAAGCTCGACTCAGTGAGCAGAACCTGAAATCAGTTGTCATTTGCGTTAACACATTCACCTCCTCTGGAGAAAATATGGAGGAGCTGCAGTGCTCAGTGCGTGATTGACAGCCGCTTTAGTGGCCTCTGCTACAGAGCCAGGCCACCTGTTTATTCAAAGGTTAATAAAACTGAACGTTTGGCATCCACTAGCCAGGGAGTCGGTGGTTTGATCCCTAGCTCCTCCAGTCTGCACTGATGGGGGCATCATGGTGTGAATCATGTGTGATCGATAAATGTGGAATATAGAAGCTTTTGTGATTTGTAGCATATAGAGGTCATTAAGACTTTATACATGCAGCCCATTTACCACTGTCTACACAACCTTCTTTTATGAAACGCTTCAGTGAAGGTCCTGATGAATTAATAAAGAAATATACATATTGACTCTTTCTTCTCGCTTGTCATCAACAGATAAAGAGTGGTGGAGTCACAAGGTGCCAAAATGCCACAGCAGAAGGACATAGTGAAGATTGCCATCCAGATGCCTGGGGCCTATCCCCAGCTCATACAACTGGATCAGGTAATAGACACATACACACAGATACATGAAATAAAGATCTATCTTCTTATCCTAGTCATACAGAGAGACTATTAGCTGTTTTGTGAAATTATTGAAGACCCTACTCCTTCAAACTTCATTTATATCATTATACTACAGACATATTTATTGAGATAAGACAAAAAAGCTCTATTTAGCCACTTTGAGAGCATTTGAACAAATGTGTCTCGTCTGATTAGTGTGATCCAGTTTTATTCTGGCTTGTGTCTTTGGGAGATACATGTGTTTGTAAGTAATGCAGACTGCATTGTTATTCATTTGTCAGACGGAAAGTAAAAGGATCTTGTTAATTCAGAAAAACAGAGCAGATTTATTTTCTCAAGTGAAAGCGATACGCTTCAGTAGGTTCCACACCCACACAGCTGACTCTCTTTCTTCAGCTCTAACCAAGTTTGATCGTGGGGGAGTTTTCCATGTGTTTCCCAGAAATCTTTGGGGAAGTTGAACTCCTCTGCATGAGACACCAACCATGAGTTGTAGTGTAAAGCAGACGTCCGGGGTGTGTGTTCACTGTTCACAGTCACATACTCATTTGACCAGAGAGAAAATGTATTGAACAGGTTCTTACAAGATTGTTTAATCTCAACAGTTGAAAAGGGAATGGACACAGATTCTCCCATTTTTAAAGCCTTACTACCAATAATTTCATGACTCTTGTTTTTAACAGCACAGCAACAGTGGATTCAGGATGCTGTTTTGAATGTGAATACCCACTCGCTACCCAAAATATTTTTATTTTAGATCCCAACTAATCCTTCAAGCCCAGAGGAAGCTCACAAAAACTTCTCATTGGCCCTCCTGTTGTCATTAAACACATCTGATAGGTCGAGCTTCTTGGCTGCCACTAATAACAGGCCATCCACTGGGTCTACCGCAGAACCCGAGGACATTTTGATTGGTTGACCGCGGGGCTGACCACTAATAGCAGGATAGTCTGAGAGTCAGACATGGAAGTAGTCTGACTTTTATTTATGTACAAAGCAGGATCTGGAAAGTGAGGGAAACATTGTTCAGAAAGTGTCGGGGAGATCTTGGATTTCCTCTTCCTAGCACACGGGGTTTGCAGCCAGGGAGAATAGCTGTGGTATTGTGATCCCATAACAGCGTGTTATTACTCAAGCATGCGTTCAGCTCCCTGACAGAGGAAATACTTTGATAGTAGAGTCTGCTAAGTCCTGTTGTCGTTGTTGACCCACATGTATGCAGCAGCAGGTGTGTGTAATGTGTAAATGTGTTTTCCCGTGTGTGACTATAAACTGTTTGTTGTGTCCCTGCAGAAAAAGCCTCTGTCTGCTGTAATAAAGGAAGTGTGTGATGGGTGGGTTGATGATGACTCTACCGTCTCTGTGGTAACATTTGGCATCATTATCACTAAACTTCTGTTGTTGCAACAGTTAATAACTGTGTGTGTGTGTGTGTGTGTGTGTGTGTGTGTGTGTGTGTGTGTGTGTGTGTGTGTGTGTAGCTGGAATCTCCCAGGCCCTGAGAACTACGCCCTGCAGTATGCTGATGGGGTGCAGACGTACATCACAGAATCAGTAAGTCAGATACATTTGTCTATGTATTATTACTATCAATACATTTATCTACACCAGGGAATCAGTCCAGTAAATATCTGAGCACACCTTGAAAACATTGAGCAACACACCTGACTCATCCGTGCAGGAGTTTCAGTGTTTAAGACGAAAATGTTGTCACGTGAATCAGCAGTGAATCAGTGACTCAACACTTTTTCACCAGTTGATGGACTCTGCCTGCTTTTTTTGTATTCTCCCTGCGTCCAGCAGTAAATGAGATTGCTTGAAACAGAGCTCACATTGCACAGGATCGTCACAGTTTTTAAATGTGAGTGTGAGACAGAGTCAAAAAGCTAGAGGCAGAGACAGAGAGCGAAAAAGAGACGAACGCAGTCAGAGCTACACTCATCTTCTCGGTGTCAGGTGACCTTTTCTAACTGTTGCCACTGGAAGCCCTCCCCCCTCTTCAGAGGTAAAGACGGGACTGTAGAAGTCATTAGTGAAAGAGGATGTTTTTACTGTCGAACATTTCAATGAGACTGTTTCAGTTGTGCTGCTGTTGGAGCAGCAGGCTTTACTTCTATTTATTCTTGAGTTAGTGAGAGAATGCCTACTTCCAGACTTTAGAGTTGGTTGTAGTTAAATACAGATGTTTCTACTTCTGGTTGAACGTTTGCAACAATCAGCTTGATTACAAATTAGTGCGATAACTTTCACCAGTAATTTGATTCAGAAACATCCATGCTAAAATCCATGTAGAAATCCTGATCAGGTGAAAGGATCAGAGATAGTGGAGCGTCCCTGAAGCAGCCTGGACGCTCTTCTATTCAAGTTTCTTTACAATTACTCACTCACAACAGCTGCTTTTCCAATAAAAGACGAAAACACCTCCCTGAACAATAATAACAATCAAACACACACATCAAATACAATGCTCAAGTGTTGTAAAAGTGCAAATATGAATATGGCTGGGTTCATGCATGCAAGTGTTTATGTGATGTGTGGTTCTAAAACAGCTTCTAAAACAGTTTTTTCTCTGCCCACCTTTGTGTTTGTGTTTGTTTGTGTGGTGCAGAATCGTCTGGACATTAAGAACGGCTGCATTCTGCGTCTGACCAAGGCACCGGTGAGTCTGCAGCCACAGCCTCTTTCTTCTTACACCCCCTTCTCTTACATTCTTCTGTCTCTCACTCTCTAGCTCCTTTCAGACATGCACTGAACTCCAGAGAATGTCAGGACATTGTATGTGAGAACGCAAATGTCTGAGTGAGAGCCTCCCGACTCTCCCCTGAGTTTTTCCGCCCTGGCCCCCTTGTAAAACCTCTGTAGAATTAGGAGAGTAACAACACTGTGAATAATAAGGAAATGTGTAAGTGAGCTTTCGTCTTTCTGCCGAACGCAGGGTCGCTGTGCAGAGGACTTGTTTAAGGGCATCCAGAGCTTGGACTCAGGCGTGCGCTGCGATTCGCTGAAGGAGCTGGCGAACGTCTCCACAGACGTGACCTTCGCTCAGGAGTTCATCAGCAGAGACGGACACCTCTTATTGGTCAAGATAGTGGAGGATTCGAAGGAGTTAGTATCTGTGTCCACATGTTTTCCTTGGAATGCTGATCCTCAGAGAGTTATCACCGGTGCTGAGGGGTTTCTGTACATGTAGCAGCACATCCCACTGAGCTAAATGTATAGAAAAAACAAGGAATGTACCTGGTGAATGTATATAAGAAACATTTCCTCCCGTGTATTCAGTGTGTGTGATTAATTTATAATTGTCTCTGTGTGAATCTACATATTATTTCTGTCTGTACGTGTCTGTGTCATTCAGGAGTAATGTGATCATGACGCACACACTGACAGGCTTCATGGAGCTGATGGATCATGGGATAGTATCTTGGGAGAACCTCTCAACCATCTTCATCAAGAAGGTGCTGGATCTGCTGCTTCCTGTCTTTTGTTTGGTCACAGATACATTTTTTTGATGAATGTATATCTCATTCACTCTCTTCCCTCCTTTCAGATCGCCAGCTTTGTCAACGCTAAGCCGACAGACGCTTCAATACAGCAGGTGTCCTTGGACATCCTGGAGAGCATGGTGCTGAGCAGTCACAGCCTCTTCCTGCAGGTCAAACAGGAAGTCACCATGGAGAGGCTCATCGCTCATCTCCAGGTGTAAGTAACAATACGATAATAGTAATACAACGCTAGAGAGAAGATAACGGAAAATAAGATTTCACCAGATGAACACACCAGTTTCACCAGCTGCCTCCACAGTAACATGCTTGAGTGTTTGTTGTTGTTCAACTTCTGCCGTACGCAGCAGGCCCACAATGCAGTGCAGCAACACATGACATCCCCACATTCAAAGTGAACGAGCATCATTTCGATTGACACGTTCAGTGCGTACATGTGAATCCAGCGTCCGACATAACATACTGATGGGAGGGTCAGAGGACATTTTTATTATCTCATTCTTTTATTCCTAAACACACATTTTCTTACAGTTATGTGAATCCTCTTATTGTATGTTTGTCTCACATGCTACTCTCTGACTTGTTTCAGGACCAATCAGCAGATCCAGACCAAAGCCATGGCCCTGCTCATGGCCCTGCTACAGACGGCCGGAGACTCTGACAGACAGGTGCTGCTGCAGTCTGGTTATTACTCTCCGACTCTGTTCCTCTTTTCCTTATTGCTCTTTAATCTCACAGTCGTGCAAATGTTTGGTTTCCTGAATGTTGGTTTCTCTCACACAGTGGTGCCTGCAATTGTAAAAATCAATATACTTCATTCGCTGTTTTTAATTTCCTCTTGAATTAATTGTTTACTATGAGTCTCTTGTGTGCTGATGGGAAGCTGTGACACCCCGGGCTGCATGTGGCCTGCATGTGACTTGTTGTAAAGAGTGTTTTTGTACCAGCCAGACCTTTTGTTGTACATAGGAGTCAGAGTCCTGCGAGCATCACTTCTGGCAAACAGCTGGAAATAATTCATCCCTGTTAATCTGTCTGCGCATCTCAGATTTTCTGCAGACAGTCAAGTCTTTCTCTCCCTCTGTTCGGTTTCTGCTCCTCTCTTATTGTACGGAAACAGTTCCTTCATTCAGCCCTTCATCTCTTTTCTCTCAGGCTCTCTTTGTTACTCTCTCTCTCTCACACACACACAGCAAACACACACAAGCACACACTTCCTCAATTTATCAACAAATCCACCCGTCTTATCAGGGTGAACAATCCCAGTGCAAATTTGCATCCTGAACAAAATGAGGTTGAGTAAGAGGCAATAACCAGCAAGCGTTGGTTTCGTCACAGAGGTCAAAGTCTGTCTCAGTCTAAAACCCATGTCCCGCCCATGAGTCTGTTCCTGACACCATAGTACCACCCCATGTTAGAAATGTGTCATTACATCTCAGCCACACATTTCACTTGCTCTCGCTTCAACATTGCTTTCTCTCTTTTTCAGGATATGTTTGCATTCCTAAATAAGAAGAATCTCCGTCAGTACATTTATAAGGTAAATGATGATGATCTCACTCTTACCTTCTTGCTGTTGTGAATGTGAATAAACCAACACAAACTGTGTGTTTGCAGAACATCATCCATAGTTCTGCTTCAGTCCAGGATGAGATGGCCCACTACCTCTACGTCCTTCAGTCGGTAACATTGAATCACCTGGAACCACGCATGAGGACGCCTCTGGACTGTTACAGTCAGGTGAGCTACAGTGAAACATGAGGATTCCTACTGCTTAACATTTCTCTAACTACTAAAAACAAATATCATTCTTTGATTACTGAACCTTATCTGTTTATTTTTCTCTGCAAATCTCTCCATCTTTCTCCTTAAACTTTTATGACAAAGAAATGTAATTGAAGCTTGATATTTTACAGTTTAATCACAAATTTTATTGCAAATAAATATAAATAATAGAAAATATGTAGAACTTGAATAAAGAACATTTTCTTTATCTTATATGTAAACATAAATGCACATCTTTTCTGCATTCTTCATTCTGTCAAATAATTCTGTAAGGCTCTGTCATCCAACCAATAAATTGATCAAATCTGTATCAATACACCACAAACAGTTTGAGTCAACTAACAGCTCTTACCCACGTCTCCCCGCTGTGACACCAGGAGCAAAGAGACATCCTTCACAATTTGCGTCAGGTGGCGTTTGAGACAGAGAGTGAAAACAGCCTGAGCCACGAGAGGCGACGCTCGCTCTGTGCTAAAGAGTTCAAGAAGCTGGGATTCTCTGTAAGTGTCTGGCCTCAGAACTTATTCTCTAATGTTTGTCTCTTAACATTGGTCATATTACTCTTAGGGTCGGTATATTATTTGTATTAATTATGATCTTTCTTTCCTTCCAGAACAACAGTAACCCCGGTCAGGACTTGGTGCGGACGCCTCCTGGTCTTGTAGCTTTGGACACCATGTTTTATTTTGCTTCACGCTATCCTGATGCCTACAGCAGGGTGAGCGAGGTTTATCTTTTATTTGTAAAACGATTCAAAGAGTTCAGCGTCTTTCCTTTTTGTTTATTCTTCATTTCTACTTGTTTCCCGCTCTCAGTTTGTTCTGGAGAACAGCAGTAGAGAGGACAAACATGAGTGTCCGTTTGCCAGGAGCAGCATACAGCTCACACTCATCCTGTGTGAGATTCTTCGTATCGGAGAGCCACGTAAGTCGACCCCCGACCGACCTGCTGCTGATATGAAATTTACTATGATCTTTCCTTTTCTTATATTTGTTCTCCATCTTCTTCATCGCTTCCTATTTGACAGCCTCAGAGACGGGATCTGACTACCACCCCATCTTCTTCAGTCAGGATCGACTCATGGAGGAGCTCTTCTGTGTCTGTATTCAGCTGCTCAACAAGACCTGGAAGGAGATGAGAGCCACACAGGAGGACTTTGACAAGGTACAATAGTCCACGCTGGCACAGCACAGCAGGGTTTGAATCGGTTTCATTTGGAGTTTAGTTTCAAACTCTTTATCGTGGATTTGGGTAACTTTTTGTGACATTGTGTTGGTTTAATCTCATGCTAACTATAACCAACCTGCCCCTACACTCAACATTTAGTTTCTTTACAAGCACAGTGTAGTACTTGTACTATGGTAATAGCCAAGCCTTGAGCAGCCAGGTCATGTCTGGGAGAAATACTGAGAATCCAGCGTCCTGAAGGAAAGACAAGTCAAGCTTTGTCTTGAGTCGCATCTCCACATCTCACACAGCGCTCTCCTGATAGTTATAAAACTCAGTGACCTTTTGACCTGTCAGGAGCAGCCCTGTGTCCCGAGCACCGGGACAGCAAACCGGCCTTTTGTTTCTATCCACGGCCCCCTACCCAGGGTGCTTTGGGGCAAGGACAAAGGGGCATTAGGTGGACAAAGAGAAGCGTGGTGGGCGGCAGAAACAGAGGGAGAAGGAAACAGGGAAAAACAAAGTGCCCAGGGCATCAGCAGTAATTACACAACAACAGAGGGAACGTAAAACCTCTGGAAACAATATGAGAGGGTGAGAACGAGAGGATTGGACTGCAAGAGAAACCAAAGAAAGAGAGAGAGGTGGCGGTGTTATACGAGACATCACAAATGTAGGTTTCATACTTGGAGAGCAAAGTGGACGAATTTGTGTTGGTGTGTGTGAGTGAGACTCCCACGAAAAACACACAATCGTGTGTGTGCGTCTCTCTATACACCCCCCATCCTCCATGAGCACACACACACATAGATACACACATTTAACAAGCACTTGCTGCAGGGTATCAGGGAACACAGACAGCTGCCTGTCATCGCTCCTATTGGTCAGTTCAGCTAAATGACAGAGGGGGCTGGACCTGTGGGGGGTGGCGGTGGCATGTGTGTGAGAATATCAGGGTGTCTGTTTACAAAACACCCACAGGCCTGCACCTCTCCTGCCATGTAGGTGACGTCTGTTCCTCTCACTCACTTTCACCACTTGTCGTCCCCGTCACATTTCTCTAATCGCTGACGGCTGGACAGGTGGAATTTTGGAGTTGGGATTGAAATCGTTAGTTTGAAATAGTCGACTCTGAAAGATAAAGGATGGAGGTAAGATTGGATTTTGTCTGTATTTTATTCTTGGTAGTAATTTGCTTTCAGTAGTTTGGTGCTACTACTTAGGTAAAAGATGAGTTTTTATCCGTTCAGGGCTACGACAGAAATGATTTGTAGCATATGAGAGTTGAGGTGCCAGGACAGTGTGAAGTGTCGGAAACTTGTGTCATGTGAAAATAGCTGGACGCCAAAGTTATTTTGGCTCAGGGAGCTAGTGCAGGCAGTGACAGTGCGAAACTCTAGTCGCTTGTTTTGTGTCCGTGTATGTTCACACAATATAGAATGACAGTCTGGATTTCACTGTCTACGCATGGAGTGCTGCCAGACACACAGACAGACAGAGAGACACTGTCATTCTCTGTGGTCGTAAACAGTTTGGTAACATTCATCTTTATTTTTCCAAGGAACTTAAAACAAATACATTTCTGAATTCATCAGATGCCACATTATTTAAAAGTCTATTGTTGTTTGTGTAATGTATGTAAATCCCTGAGTATCAGATTCTCTGCTGAGAGCGGTCCAGACAGAGCTCCACTGAACGCCTCACTTTAGTCATTGATTGCTCTCGATCAAAGTTGTAAAGAGGAATGATCTAGGTCAGCAGAGTCGTTTGTGTGTGGACACAGTGCTGGAGTGTCCTCGCTCCCGCAGCACAATTAATTTTTATATATAGATTTTCCACTACTCACAGCTGAGGAGCGTAAACCGGGGGATCTATAGATTTTAATCACATGCATGAGGGCAGTCTGACAAACTGCCCCGAGCCCTCGTTTCAGGGCAGCCAGGGTCACCCCGTGTCCGTCTGTGTGAGCTTCAGTTGAACAAGTCATGCAGAAAACACACGGACAAAAAAATGACAAGTGTCGGTAACGCTGAGTCAGTGAGACAGCAGATCGTTCTGACTTGTTTACAAATACGTTTTTAAATCGAATGCATGTAAGTTGATCTGCAGTTATCACCGTGATTTTAGGATGAGCGTTAGGATGGTTGGTGTGGTGGTGATGTTGGTCACATGTCAGTTGGTCAATAAGGAACAGGCTCATCAATATCTTGCCCCTGTGTTGGGTAAGTTAGATGTGAGGGTTCAAAAAACAAAGTCCTAAAACAGTGGAAGTTAGAAAAGACAACATGACAGGATGTACAGAGAAACACGACGGCGAGCGAAAGACAGCGATGAGTGAACGAAGACAAAGTGAAGCACTGAGACTTTTATACACAAGGGAGGCAGGTTGATTGAACACAGGTGAAACACATGAGGAGCAGGTGCAGACGAGCGCAGGGGCAGGAAACAGGACAAAGACAGGAAGTTGAGCCAGAGACACACAAGGAACATAGTATCAAAATAAAACAGGAAGAACTCAGGGGGGAAACAACTGAACACAAACCTAAACACAGGTAAAAGTCAACAAACCAAAAGAGTCCACAATTAAAAATGTCCAACAAAAATCCCCAAACTGTCCATCTCAGAGTTCAGTCATGACACCTCCAGGATTTTTTGCTTCATTTCTGGAAAGAGGGAGTTAGGAGACATGGCGTCCATCTTTATATACAGTTTATGGTCGTCATCAGTGAATGATAATGAAGATTGTGATTGTTGCGTGAGACAAAAAACAAATGTGAATTCTCATGTGAATATGTGAGTATCCCTCATCCCTCCCTGCTTACACAGGAGCTGGTACATTGAATGAGTAGATCAGGCTACATGCAGCAGTACGTAACCATCTCTCTGTCTCCATCTGCAGGTGATGCAAGTGGTGAGGGAGCAGATCACCAGGACGTTGTCCAGTAAGCCAACGTCCTTGGAGCTCTTCAAGAACAAGGTCAACGCTCTCAACTACAGCGAGATCCTCAAACTGCGGCAGACAGAGCGGCTGCACCAGGAGGAGACGCTCGCACCTCCTGTACTGTGAGTTGAACCAGTCACATGATTGATTTACTCCTCCCGCTGCCACGCTCAAGGCCTGACTTTAGATACAAGGCAGGAAATTTCGCTTTGTAGTGTTTTTACTGTTTTCTAATCAAGTGAATCATGACAGAGGAAATTAAATCAAACAAGTGAAGGAATTTTTTTTAGTCTCAAGATGTTTTTTTGCAGGGAATAAAAGGATTTATGTTCATACTGGGGGTTAGATGAAAGCTTGTATTCACGTATGGTTTTACCTCAGTGATGAGCCTTCGTGTTTTTCAGTTTCTTGTGACGAAATGGTTCATTTGTTTGATTATTTTTTTTCAATGTAAAAAAAGTAAAGCAACAGTATCACAAAACCTGTTGATTTGCTCTCATGACGACTTTCCGGCCCTGTGGAGTCAGCTGATATATCAGCAGCCACCACTGTTGTTTATTATGTGACTGTTTGTCACTAAACACTGAGTGTAACAGTGAACAGGGCGCTGCCCTCATCCAGGCAGGTCAGGTTTAATGTCGGCAGAGATGCTGCTTCCTTGTTAATATTTAAAAAATGGTGAAAAGTTTTATTTAACCTTTTGTGACTTGCTGTGGTTTGTTCACTATAATTAATATTCATGTTAAATGACATGTGATTGTGTTTTTCCTTCCTAGTGAGCTCAAAGAGCGTCTGAAGCCGGAGCTGCTCGAGCTGATCCGTCAACAGAGACTCAACAGACTGTGTCAGGGAACCATGTTCAGGAAGATCAGCAGCCGACGCCGACAGGGTGACAAAGCACTACGCATGCACACGCACACATATCTTTAAAAGACAGTAGACTTGATAGTTTCCTGTTTGACTAAACTCTGCACATTTTTCTCTCAGATAAACTGTGGTACTGCCGCTTGTCACCCAATCACAAAATGCTTCACTACGGCGACGTGGAGGAAGACACAGACAATCCACCGATAGAAACACTGCAAGATAAGAGTGAGTTGAAGCTGAGGATGGACAAATGGGAAGATTTTAAACTTTTCTGTATTTAGTAGAAATAATATGGAATTTTGGGGCTGATGATACAAATATTAGCAAAAAAAGTCCATATAAAATTCACACACTCGTAGACATCAGTCCCCTGAACCTGATTTTTTCTTCAAGATCTCTGTACTATTTCTTTAGAACATTTTAAAGAAAGTGTAAAAAATTCACACATTTTAACGGCGTCTTCCCTGACCCATACCACATCCTTCCAGCAAGTCTAGAGGTAATCCGTTCAGTTTTTGCACAATCTGCTAAATAAGCAAACAAATGCAGATGAAAACACAAGCTCCTTGGTTTAATCAAACCTGTAGCAAATAGAACTTGAATTAAGAAAATACAACATAATTAACATTTCATATTTGCACTTATTACCAAAAACACAGATATCAATACTGTTAAAGGCTCAAATCAGCCGATTTCAGCCAGGCTCTAGTAACTAGATAAATAAAAAGATATTGAAGTGTTCATAGTCTGAGCCCTGATCAAAGTTTTTAAATGATGTTAACTTATTTTTCTGTGTTCATAACTAATTCTTTCCTCCTTATCCACATCCGTCAGTTCCAGTAGCAGATATCAAGGGGCTGCTAACGGGAAAAGACTGTCCTCACATGAAGGAGCATAAAGGCAAACAGAACAAGGTCAGCAGCTCTTATCTTTTCAGATTATGGACATTTCCTGTCAGTCAGAAGACGTAATAAAGTCTCAACATCTTTGTACATGTGTTCCTCCCTCGCTGTAGGAGGTGCTGGACCTGGCATTCAGCATCACATATGATGTAGAAGAGTACAGTATAAACTTCATCGCACCCTCCAGAACTGATGTGAGTCGAACGTCTTAATGTCCCAACATTTTCACATATCATCTTATTCTGTGTATAAGAATACCCAGAGTACTTACTGTCCTCCTCCCTCTGTCAGTTCTGCCTGTGGACAGATGGCCTGAGCGTCCTCCTGGGCCGGGAGATGAGCAGCGAATCCATGCGCAGCGAGCTGGAGATCCTCCTCTCTATGGAGATTAAGCTCCGCCTCCTGGACCTGGAGAACGTCCCCATCCCGGAAAGTGCGCCAGTCATCCCCAAACCTCCGAGCAACTACAACTTCTGCTACGACTTCAGCCAGACTGAGCAGTAGAGTGTGTGCACAGGCTGGATGTGTGAATGTGTAAATATATATATAAATATGTGTGTTTGTGTATGTGTGGTGAGATTTTACTAGTGCATCCACTTATTAACAGATTTATAATCCTGACAGTAGAAGTTTCCTCTGTGGCCTGTTTCTCTACAACGAACACACGGAATCTCTATAACTACAGCTGCCGTGGTTGGTACGAATCTTTACCAAATGTCTATGAGCTGTTCTGATGCTGCAGATCATCATTCTCATCTGAGGTGAGATGAGAAGTTTATGTTTTTCCTGACTTCGATCATTTGATGTTGAGCTGCCTGGGAACCTCCAGAAACAACAGAGAGTCGAGCTGCTTGCAGACATGCACTGAAGTCTGCACATTCTCCTCAATATTCTGGAGGGTTAGAACGCAAATGTCTGAGTCAGTTGCTCCGGACATTTTACAAAACCTTTCCTTCCAGCCCCCTAGTAACATTTCCGTGTAAATCCATGTGAGAATGCAGCAAGAAAATGTCTGGAAAGTTCAAAGTGTTGATGAAGTTTGTAATAAGCGGAAGAACACAAATATTTCAAGATAAAAACAAGGTGTTACAGCGGACGCTCGTGAAGTTTGGAAAGACGATGAGATTACAGAGCTTTTGGCTGAAGCCAGTGTGGATGTGCTGTAAACAGAAACATGCGATTTCCACAGCATAAATTATGTCACGTCCTGAAGGCTTCAGACATTTTCCTGTAGTTGTGAACTTGTCTGACCCGGACAATCTCCTGCTGCCTTCTTCTTATGTTAAAGACAAACTCTGGAAAATGTCCGAGCCCAGTTTTTCTGGACATTTTCCAGAGTTCATGTCTGAAAACAGCTTTTTACAAGAGATGTTGTAAAATACCGGTTCAAAAGTAATGGTACTTTAAAATTTTATATATATTTCGAAATGCTTCTAAAACTATGCATGGTACATGGAGTATTCTTGTGTGCGAGGCTGCTCATCACTGACTTTTTTATTTTTTTTATCCGGTTGTGCTTATTTCTCTTAAATTCCTTTCTGTCATTTCAGTTTTTAAAAAAATGGGCATTAACTAGAACACTGATTTCTTAAGATGTGGTACATTAGACTCATTTTCAACAGGTGACATAGAAATACAGCAGGTTTTCAGTGTCGGATAATATTTTTTAAATATACCTTTGGGTACGTGCCTGCAGATCCCAGTGGCTCAGTAACGATGGAGCAAATCTGTACAACATTATTTTAAAAGCAATGCAGATTCTCATCAGGTATCAAGCTGACTTCTTCCACCTCTTTCTTATTAAAAGTACGAATAAGCATTTGTGTAATTGTTTGAAAAACAACTTGATCTTTAGATTTGCCTGAACCGTCTTGAATTAAATCTAAAACCTGTTCATTTTATAAAAGGTACTTGTTCTAATTTGATGCTCAGTAACATCAAGTATTCAGTAGCTTCTCAATAACTGACAGTTCTTCAGTATATCACAGTGTGTTTGAGTGTTTTTTGCCATTTGGTGTCATTTCGATCCTGACACCCCACCCTCTGATGATATCCACTTTGAATCCTGTGCTTTTTGCTGAATTCACATGAATAAACAGTTTGATTTATACAGAGAGATAAACTGTACGTGTGTTTCTTTCATAGAATATTTGCAGACTGTGGTTTATTTATAAAATCAACATTTTGATCTACAATTCCTCTGTTGAAAAAAAAAAAAGCATGTTGCTGAAGCTACAGTGGACAAGATCATGCATTTAAACCAAGTCAAAGCAAAATTTAAAAAAATGGTCAATGTGAAGCGAAAACAAAATGGTGTAAAATTTGATCTATGTGGGTAAATATTTATTTACATTATTCCATAAATTAATCATTAAGTTAGAATGTTAAGATTACTTCTTATTGGGCAGCTGTCAATACAAAATAACAAGCAGAATATTTAGGATTCATTTACCTTCTAGATACAAATGTGCCAGAAAACAATTCTCACTTACATTAGACACAGAATACTTTCTTCTTACTTTGTGAGCTGTGTTTCACTTCACAGCATTTCTCTTGATTTTATTGGATACATCTTGCTCCCTAAAGCGCCTTGGTCGCCCCCTGGTGTTTGACTGCACTATAGGTCATAAACCCTACCTCCTCCGTGTTAGCTGATGGGGCATGGACCAAACTAAACAGTTAAAGGTCACGTCAAATCAATTCTTCTCAAAGATGGTTTCTCAAGTGTTTTCGGTTATATGATAATTTAAAAACAGGGTAAAATGTTGTGATCCACGTTTCCGTGGCTCCATCCATCAATCGCTACTGTGCAGACTCTGGTGCCAAATGACATCATCTGCGTATAGTAGAGACGCACTGTCCATCTTTTACTGACAGTCTATGGTTTGAAGCCAAGCTTGAACATACGTAAGTTAAACCTTACAAAAAAACAGGTGTTTCCTCATTGGTTTGATCCTGGCCATTAAAGCGAGATTATAAAAACCCCTTCCAGAACGACCTGTAGATAATGGGTTTTACAGTACTTTACTGTAAACTTAACTTAAATCTGAACTTACTTCAGTTCTTGTGCAAATTGCTGAGATGTGCAGAAGCTCAATCATGGAGCAGGATTTGGTTTGCAGGCTTTGTTGTTGAGATGTCCAGTGGTCGTTCAGAGTGTGAGAGTGGGATCAACCCCACCTAGGAATTTGTATTGGACGTTTTCCAAGAAGGGCAGCTGTGATTGAAGGAGTTCCATTGTTGTTATGGAAATGTTTTTGCACCGTGAGATGTCGAGTGTCCTCAGACGCTTACAGTGCTGCGCCAGCTGAAACAAGGATCTGCGAAGTTGAAAGGTAGAAGGCTCAGGAATGGACGTTTTTAATCGATGGCTACATGTACTGCAGACGTGCTGTTGTGTTTCACTTACCGGTCCGTGATCTTACTACAACCGGAGAGGTAGAGATGCTGGAGTCTGTGGAGGTATGGTGCCGCCTCTGTCACTCCGCGGTCGCTGATCCCCGGGCAGTTGCTGAGAGACAGGCTGGTGAGGCTGCGGCATTGCCAGGCTACAGACACCAAGCTGTCGTCAATGATTTCTGGCAGCATGGACAGAGACAGACGTTGGAGGTCTGGGTGGTGAACAACCTGGGAAGAACAGAAACAACATAAACTAAGGCACGTTTTTAGTTATTAAAATATTCCTGCTCCAGACTGAGGCTACAATCATTATACATTTTTATTTGAAAATGTTTTTTTCATTCTCTCCTCAGCCTCTTACCTGTGTGATGCTGCTGTCAGTGAGTTTGGAGCAGCCGGAGAGGTCCAGCTCCTGCAGCCTGCTCAGAGCCAACAGCGACGCCCCCGCCTGCTGTTTGAACTGCTCCAGGTCATTCTGTGTCACCAGCTTGGGTCGCTCCTCAAATGGCAAACGAGGAGGCTTGAAGAAGCCCATGTTGCCAAAGGTTCGGGTGAACCTGGGACCCTTGTCTTCCTGTGTTAAATGGTTTATCGTTAAAACAGCTATAGCAGCTTTCACTGAGAAGATTGTACTTAGAGATATAAAGCAGAACTTCTCTTTTACAATCTTTAACAGTCTCCATCTCTGTGGCTCTTACCTTCTCCTCCTCAGGCTCACACTTAGTCGTTCCCACCATCCCCAGCAAACCCCAGTCTGTCACTTCTTTACACCAGCCGAGCCTCAAAACTACCAGCCTGTGCAGGTAGGTGGATATAGCGCGAACAGACAGGTCTGTCACGTTGACGCATGAGGTCAGGTCCAACTCACAGAGAGTATCCCCAAGAAGCTGGGTGAGAGAGAAAACGGCAAGATCCTGAAGAGGGAGGAGAGAAATGAGGACAATTATTTTCCATTTATTTTTCATAAAAATGGGATTAAAACACACACAGACACTGACTGACCCTAATGTAGGTGCAGCTCTTTAAGTTGAGCTTCTCCAGCTGAGCTCTACTAGCACCAGACTCCGTCAAGCCTTTCACCATCTCTGATCCACTGACGTGCAGACACTCGGACAGATCCAGACTCCTCAGGGACGACACAGACAGCAGCTCAGCGAGGCCTGTGGACAACATGAAACTTTCACGTTCATGTATTTTTGCAGATAGTTGTTCCCTCCCAATTTATCCTTATGTATTAATTAATTAATCCTAACCCGACTGGGCAAAAATTTGATTTTAGCCATTAAACGCTTCTTAGGTTCAGTGTGTAAGTTTTGGTGATATCTAGTGGTGACAATGAATATCCCAATGAACTGAATAGCCCTTGCCTCTCCCTCCTGATCCAAGCGTGTCGGACAGTGACCCTCAAGTCATGTAAAATAGAACCAGAGTTTGTTTTTTAATGTTCTGGGCTTCTGTGGAATCATAAGTACAACATAATGGACTCTGTGAAAGTGGAACCACTCCTGACGAAGATATATATTCAGGCAATTATGCACCAATGAAAACATAATTCTGAACATCACTTTCAATTTCTTCTGATAAATCTCTCTAAATCCTACACACTGGGCCTTTAAAAGTAGCTGTTGTTCAAAGTGTTGTGGGGTGTAATGAATACAGATACACAAAAACAGAAATAAACTACAAGCACCTTTTTCAGTGATCCTCCAGTCACGGGACAAGGAGAGGTGTGTCAGAGACTTCAGGCCTCGAGCTACAGCCTCGACAGACCTGCTGGTCAGCTCAGTGCAGCCACTGATGTCCAGTCTCTGAAGGCCCGGCTGGTGCTTCACCAGAACCTCCACTGAGTAGTTGGTCAGCTCCTTACAGCCGTGCAGGGCCAGCTCTTCCAAGACCAGATCCTGAACCTGGGACAGAGAGAATATCAAGAAATTGTCTTTTTCCTCAAAGAAGGTAAAGGACACACTAAAATCATGAAAACCATCATTGTTGAAACAAATACAGCCATTTCTCTTTGTATAATCTGGCAAATAGGTCTTTAGATATACTCTGACTCGAGTAATCCTGACCTGTGCAACAGTGCGTAGTGACTCGGGTGTGATGGAGGTTCTGCTGAGGTCCAGAGCCACCAGTGTGGATTTCTGCTCCGTCAACAACCGCCTCAAGTTCCTCAGTGACAGTAACGCTGATGAGTCTTCGACGGCCCCCACCGGGCACCCTCGATACGGGTCGAATTCGAAAGCGATGTGGCATCCGGCCAGTGAGAGTCGGCGGAGGCGCGGGGTGCAGCTGGTGAGCCGATTAAAGGTGAGGTCGGAGAGGTAGCGCAGGTCGGACAGGTCCAGATCCTCCAGGCCAGACAGAGCTGACCTGACCTGGAACAAGAGAACTTGTTAATGGACCATTAAAACAATAAAGCTATGGAAACACATTGACAATAAACATTTTATATTTATCCACTCTTTATACTGAGAGCAATGTCCGGTCGCACTCATGAATATTTATCACAGCTGATGGCCTTTACTTCTCAGATGACTACAGATAACATGAGATAATAATTCTGACTTAAGGCTAAATATAAATAGATATAAAGCAGGGGAATAGGATAACACCAATGTTTACAGAAACAAAGTTTAGAGTGCCATTTATTTTTATGGCTAATTATTATTTTATTGTTAAAAAAACACATGCCTGAGGTTTCTGCAGTAAGTAAACACAGTCTTAAGCCAAGACCAGCTGTGCAGTGTTTTATTACCTCTGCCAAGGAGTTTTTCTGTCTGCATTTATTTGTCTGTGTGTTAACAGGATTACCCAAAAACTACAGGATGGATAACCACACAACTTTCAACATTTTAATTGATTTCTCAAGAAATAATTCATGGAGCTTGATGAAAAAAATTGAGGAGATTTCAATCTATGAGTGTGTGCAATTTGTTGCAGATACAAATAAAAGTGTTTGTTTGTCAGCAGGCTTACACAAAAACTACCAAAACCAATTATTGCCAAACTTGGTGGAGGGATGGGGCCTTGGCCTGAAAGAACCCACTCAATTCTGGTGCGGACTCAGGGGCAGATTATTTTTCACTTTCTTTAAGTATGTTTTATAACAATCGTTTAGGTTATCATATCACTTTCTTTTTTCATTTATATTTCAACTGTAAGAACTAAAAAAGTTTATCATGTGTCTACTGAGTATCATTCTAGTTATTACTATTTTACTTCATCTGCAGATGCAAGATAGTTAAAATGAGGTGGGACTGGTATGTTGGCAGAACGGTCAACTCTTCTATCTTATTGAAAACCTGCCATCTGTTACTGTTGCATGATGACTAATACCTGCTGACGGTGCTCCTCCCTCGAGAGGAACGCTCCAGACATGAAGAGGCTGTCCAGGCCCCTGAGGTCCAGCCTGTGGAGGGAGGTCAGGCAAGGAAGAAGGGCCAGCAGGGAGGTCTCCGTTATGCTGCTACCAGGCAGGGCCAAGCTCTCCAGTTTGGAGCCCAGACACACGCCCACCTGAGTAGGGAGGGACAAGTGTCATTGACCAGCTCTTACCTCCAGGGAACAACATGATATGAGGGTGAGTATAATGTCACCTAACTTCCTCCACAATCCAACTCTCTCATTGACATGCTGAATAAACACTGCCGACCAGTTATTTAGACTTCATCCTTGCGTTTCTCTGCAATGGTTAAGGTTTTACAACTTTTCTAGCCACAAATTTGTAACAGGAAGTTCAGAATCTGCATGATCCCACGCAGACACACAAACAGTGATATGGGACAATGGGGGTTGTAAAGTAACCGCTGCAGCTGCTTTGGACTTTGGACCATAAAATGTGTGACTATGACTGTGCTACATCCTGGTCATTGTGATGGGAAGTTACAATGGTGAGTGAGCATGATAATGTAAATTTAAGAATTCAAATGTACTGTTTGTCTTTCGGGAGGAGCGACTTTTGTTTTTTCCCTGGAGGCATTTTTCTTTCATGAGACCTGTGGGCAGGGGACTTCTCTCAACCCACAAAGAAGCATGTGAGCAATGTGGGTCAAAAGAAGAAGTCATTTGAACTTTCAGCCAGCAGTGGTGACAATTGGTTTAACATCTTTTGATTTTGACAGAAGGAAGCAACACAGTGATAGTCCAACCGATACATGCACTTGACAAACTTTATGTATAAGTCAATAAGGACACATGAACAGAGGATGTGTCACACAGAAATACACATTCAAGCTAAACAAAGTATTGATGAGTTTTTGAACACCTCCAGAAGCAGTGATCTGGACATACTGAAGCCATCTAGTTGACTGATTATCAGGCTGCAGCGGGACTTTCTGCCCAGAGCCCTGACCAGCTCCAGGGACGAGGCGGAGGCCGGGAAGCAGAAGGTGACGTTCCTCTACACAAAGACAAACAGAGAGAGGGAGAAAGAAAGAGAGCGGTGGCGTGATGTTAACTCTGCCTTGAAGCGTAACTGCTCATGAAGACTGTGTCTACCGTCTCTGATGAATGGATGATTCAAATGTATCACGCATTGTGGTTCTCATGGTCTTTTATCATCTAATCACCTGAAAGCGCAGGTCCTGGCTTGCACTGTACCAGCTGCGGCAGACGAGTGAGGCCTCCTTCCTGTCTGATGCATGAAGGAAACTCAGGATGTAAACGATAATCTACAGCAGGAGAAAGAAATATAACAATGGGTTACATTAAAGTAACTGATGCTGGAAGAGAAACGTCCACCACACACTTTAACTGCTGTTCTATAACATTTTCTTGTTGGTATTGTTGTCTGGGGCGGTGGTTCCCAAACTGGTCACGAGATACAGAAGGAACGTCGCAAGATTATGTTCAGAAATCAAATATAATTTAAAACATCATATTTCAGCTGAGATTGTTCCAAACGCTAAAACAAACTAATTAAATTCAAAATTAAATTATGCACACATTTTTTCTTTGTCTCAATGTGACCCCTGAAGCGATGATGACAGATTAGAGACAGCTTCTATTACAGTAGAAAAACAGTGACCATAGCAACATGTGCTCATTTAAATCAATATTCTTTGGGATCATACGTCTCTAGGATGGTTTTTTTGGGGTCTGAGGGATGATAAGGAACCTCTGTTCTATGGATGTGTCTCATTTGTTTCACTCATTATGTGATTACTATGGCTCAGGAATAAAAGTGTGTTAAAGGTACAGTGTGTATAATTTATTTATCTACTGTTTTAATTGCATGTTGCATCTGAACACCCCTCACCTCACCCTCTCCTTCCAAACATGAAAAAGAACCTGTGTTAACCTTCATATGTCATAAAAACTCAAAAGTTGTTTAGTTTGTTCAGTCTGGACTAATGTAAAAAAGATGGCGGCCTCCGTAGAGAGGGTCCCCTCCATGTAAATATAAAGTATTTTAATATAAATACCCTTTTCCAGGATAAAGAAAACTACAATTCATACAATTCAGATGAAACGAACGAGTGAAAACATCATGAGGATTATTCTACATTAAATTTCTGCCAATAGTTCCCTTTCACCTAAATCTTACACACTGGACCTTTAAACAATACACACTCAGTGTACATCACATAAACATATCTGTGGTTTTATTTTTTATTATAATACTTGTCTTTGATTGTGTTATCATCATGTTATTGTTATATTTTCTATGGTAGCGAGATTTGTATCTTTAATTAGGTAGAGGACTGGAATAAGTACATGTGTATAATATGTTTTACATTTATTAGATGTATTTTGTTGTAATTGTGCAAATAAATCGAATGAGTTAATAACTGTCATCATTGTCCTCTGATGATCATGATACAGGCTGATCCAGCACTAATGAACTGTGGAGGAAAAAGCATTAAAAAAAAAACCATTGTAATAAATGTGTTTGTGAGTCACCTCCACAGGAAGCTCAGGTGTGTCCTCAGCTGTGTCCTCAGGTGAGTCCCTCATGTCCTCTCCATCGTTGTCCTCCATCTCCTCTTCTCCTCCGTTAGTAAACACACCTCAGGACCATGACAGCTCACTCAGTTAGCCTCCAACGAGCTAGCTGCACCGTTTAAAAAGCAGCAGGTGCGCTAGTTGCTGTTAGCCTTGAAGCTAACATGTGCTAAGTACAGAGAAGCGGACTCGTCTCAATCTGTGTAAACTAACGACCACTCCTCTTCCGCAGCCCCAGCTCGGTCTCCTCACTAAGCTACTTTACACTGAACTGAACCGGGCTGCTCACTTCCGGCAGCTGACCGGAGAGCGGAAGCTCAGTGACGTCAGGGATCGGAGCATTGTGGGAAATGGGGTTTTTTGGTCGTGAGACCCTTATGACACCAGGTACAGAGGATCTCGAGTTTATTGGGCCCCTGATCAAATATTAATATTATTATTATTACAATCATCTTGCACCAACAGAGGGTGGCAAGTGTAAACATTTCTTTGATTTAGAATTCTTTACTTACATGAGTCAATGTTTCATAATAACAAACAGAAAGAACATTAAAACTTTGAATCTCTAAAATATAACACATATGACACCAGACATAACTATAACTATACTCTGCACAATCCAGTCTTAAGTGTTTAATTATATCGTATTGCACAACCCCTCCCCTGGTACTTTTAGTATATTTTTTAATCACAAATACACCACAGCAAATTCCTTGTATGTCTAGACCTGCTTGGCAATAAATAGAATTGCCCAAAATAAATTTTACAGAAGAGTTAAACTGAAAAAGAGCCAGTGTTCACATCTCATTTCCTCTTCATTTTCCTATACTGTCACTTTCAATTCAAATTTTGAGAAAGATACAGAATTGGAGCTCATGGGGCCCAAATAGGGAGATTTCCTACTGAGATGTCAATGCAATTACTCCATTGGTTGCCTCTGGTTATTTGAAAGGTAAACAGACAGTTAGTGACACAAAGGCAAACATTGAGGTGAAGGGCATGTGGGACTCACACGTTTTTCTTTTCCTCTGCTGCCTCAAGCTTTTACCTGAAAATCTACAGAAAACACAAAGAGCACAATGTGAAGCTGTTTTCCATTAGTGTGAGTGTGAATTGTAGTTATCAGGTAAACTTGTGGTCTCAGAGGAGGGAGGATTGTAGAGGGAGCTCAAGGTGAGACTGAATGGTTCACATGCAATATGGATGAAATGAGATGGCACCAGTTTGGCTTCAGGCCCCAGAAGTCAGGACTGGTTCACATTCTACTTAGTTTCATGGTTTACATTTAACAGCATAGTCACCAGTCAGATTATTAATATGAAATATGATCAACTAATGAATTGTGATGCATTATTGTGAATTAAACTGTATTTACCAATTTAACATGAATCCAATTTTATGAGATGCAGTTCACACCCTGATGCAGCAGCAATTTATTATTCTGACATGAGCCATTCTTTATAATGAGCATTTTTACATTGACCTTTGTATATTTTGACACTTTCTTGTATTTCTATAGTGACCTGAATACTTCCCCCACCAGAGGAAATTATAGAGCATTTGATATGCGGAATTATTCCAAATGAATTGATATGATCTCAAATCAGAACTAGTGGTCAGCAGCACATTAGTTTCACACAGCTGCTCTTGTTAGTTTTTGGTGTTTTGGTTTGTGGTTAGTCTGTTTGCAGCGTGTGATGTTGTTTGTCAGGCTCTTTGACCCACATAGACAACTATGACTCATGAACTCAGGATGAAATATAATTTATTTAAGCAAAATTCACAAGAGACAGAACTACATCAGTGACAAAATCAGGTTTAAAGACATTATTATGTACACACATTCATTTGAGTCAATTATATGCATTCATCTCTCTCCCTTTCTCACTATAACACACACACACACACACACACACACCGATATACCTCTCTACAGTCTGTCTGGCAGTATGTTTAGCTGGTTTATCTTTTGAGACTTGATATAATCAAGCCATCTATACAAAAAAGTCATAAAGCACATTAACAGCACTAATTACACATTTATAGAATATGTACATCTCATGACGCTGCAAATGAGTGAAGGGATTCTTCTTAAAAATGTATTTTAACTATATTTAAAAAAAAACAATAATTTAGATAATTGTACAAAACAAAATCAAAACATTTGTGATGAGTTGATCCCTTTGAGATGACATACAAACATTATCCAGCATTGAGGCAATAAGAGGAAAGATTATTTTTGAGCTTGCTGTGGTAATTATATGATTCTCAGTATGTCTTATAACATGTACTGCTAACATACTGTATCTTATGATGGAAATAGATCATGTTGTATCGTTGTAAAAACATTCTCAGCGTGTGCTAGTCACACCGACACAACACGAAGTTAAATGACAAAAAAAGATAAGGCAAATTGAAGTTTACAAAAGAATCTGTAAACATTTAGTAGACAACAACAGCAAAAACATTTCCTCATTGGATGTTGTACAAAGACAAGAAGTTCAGCTCTATACAAATCGCTGATCTGAGTCAACGGTGATGGCTTAACTACGCCATCCAGCCTAGACTGCATGTCTATGGCGTGGCCTCGTGTAAAAGGGATTAAGTGCATCATGAGTGAAAAAGGACTTTGACTTTTCGCAATGACTTAAACAGATGCGTCTGAGAATAAGACATTATAGTTTATGTACATCTTCATTTACTTCACCTCTTCTGTCTTTCACACTCAGCATTGTTTATTCCTCTATTTTCCCTTTAAAAGCAGTTTCTTTATCTCTGTTAATTCCTCCAATTTCCTCCTTCTTCTTGCACCCACCTTTATTTTTCTTTGCTGCCACCTTCCTCACCTCTCTCCCCATCCTTCCTAACTCCTACACCCTTTCCTCTTTTCAGCCTCGTTCCCTTCGTCCTCACAGACGTCCTCCTCGCTTTGGTCCATGGCGAGTGTTTCGTCAGGGTGGCTGTGGCACTGTGATGCAGAGTGAGGCCCCAAGGAGACGTTGCTATGGCAGCGGGAAGCAGAGCGAGGTGTCGCTGAGCTGGCAAAGATTGGTGAGGGTGTGTCCCCGTCTCTGTCGGGTCCAGAGCTGGAGGTGGGAGACAGAGGAGGCTGAAAGAGGAGAGAAGAATAATGCTTTGTGTTTATATGTTGTGGCGTGCTCTCTCCTTCTTTTTATTAGCGTGTGCTAGTTATTTTATTCACCTGTAATGATATAAAGGACTTGGTCCTCTCTTTGACTTCAGCCAGAGCTCCTTTCAGTCCAGACGACTTCTCTGTCATCTCCAGGGCGGCTCTCAGCAGTTTGGGAGTCTCCGGCCTGACGGCAGCTACCGGAGCCTGAGGTGCTTCCTTAGCCTCTTCTTTGGGCTCAGGTTTCTTTCCCTTGGTCAGCATCTTCCTGTGGTTGAGACAATGACTTCAGTCAGATTGTAAGAAGTACAGACATGCAGTCAAAGCAGTGGATCCATTGGGAAGTCGTACAGTTCTGACACACGACAGACACAGGGCAGAGATAGTCATTTTTGTCATGTTTAACCTGGCCTTCTTGCGGAGCAGTTTCTTGGACTCGGGGTAGTGGACCAGGATCTCGTTCAGGTCTTTCTTGTCCAGGATGAAGAGATTGGCAAAACCATGAGCAATCACATTGGCTGTGCGCCTATTTCCCCCGCCTACTGAAAGCAAACTGCCAATCAGTGAGAGAGGAGAGATAATTACATGGTTTAAAATCACATTTAAATTTAGGTTTCAGGGCAACAGATGGGAACCTAAACAATACGTTTGTGTCTCATATTTGCTGATTTCAATCAGTCAATCAAACTTTATTATATCACATAATATTTACAATCCCAGTGTTTTACAGCTGATTGACAAAATATAGGATGTTAAAAATGAGTTAAAGATTTAGAGATGAATGCAGACCAAAGCAACCAGGGTTACAAAATACAACAAGAAAAGTAAAATAGATATAATCAACAATAACATTACAGTGAAACAAAATTGAAAACTAATAAAATTATTATAAAGCAAATAAATATATATAACAAAGCCATAGCTGCACAAAAGCCAAAATAAAAAGGTGGGTTGTGAATTTATGTTTAAAATTTAAAACCGCCACAATAAATATCTGAAATCAGAAAACACAAATCGCCAAATGTGAAAAACATTTCTGTTTTCCCCACAAATTAGATCAGAAATGTTAGAAATGACCTTTTCTATGTATTCATAGATAGCTGTGTGTTTTTCTACAGTTTCTTTCAAAGACACAAAAATAATTCACAGTGGAGTATACAGTTGCAAGCTGGGCCTGCGAGGGTTCAAATCCTTCGTACCTGATCTCTCCAAACACTGATCCTGCTCTGAGAGTGACGAACACCGTCTTCCCATCAGGTCCCCCAACCACCTGCACCTCCCCCGCTTTAATGATGTACATCTCCCGCCCCACCTCCCCCTGAGAAACAGAGGAGGGAGAGAGAGAGAGTCAAATGATGAGATGAAGGGATCAACACAAGTCTTCCACAAATAAAGGCAGATTCATACCTTTTTGCAGACGTAGTCTCCCGGCAGGTAGACGACAGAGCGAAGGCTTTTCAGCATATCAAAGATCATCTGTCTGTCACAACCCTGCCAAGAGGGAAATCAGACCAAACTAAAATATTGTTTCTTAAGCTCCACTTTCCTCCAGTCTCTCTATAGAGCATCTCACTGCAATATAACGAGTACACAAGCATCATAACACAACTGGAATTCAATTAAAACACAGTTGGACTTGACTTTCTGTACTGGAAGTTTTAGAAAATACAATTCTTTTCATACTTTTATTAATCCATACCTGGAACAGTGGGACTTTGCTCACGATGGAGTAGTTGACGTCAATAGCAATGTCCAGACGCATTTTATCTGGCAGCTGAGTCAGCAGCTCCTGCTCGTCTGGATGGAAAACAACAGTAATCTCACTGAAAGCTCGGATCTATATGAACATGCACGCTCTGTTTGTTCTCCTTACCCAGCATGCCTTGAGATTGCCAGGTGTAGTTGTACCACGTCTTCACGCGGTTCTGGACGTCTTTAGGGATGCGGTATGACGACATGTATTTAATAGTGTTGTCCATACATGTGCGGTAGTAGGTCTGACCCGCTGTGGCTGCACCAACCACATCACGCATCTGAGAAAGACAGTTAAAAACAATTTAACACCATTAATATGCACAGCTTTTCAACAACACACTGCAGCTTTTAATGTGAAATATATCTACCTGTCCTATCATGATAGAGAAGGCAAAGACTCCAACAAAGTAGTTGATAAGTTGAAAGACGATCTCAAACAGGGTGGTGGGGTCTGGTAGACCTCCGATGGTGATCAGGGTCTTCACCGCAAAGTAGTAACAGCGAATGTAACTGAGCAAAGAGAAAGACGACAAGTAGAACAAGATCATGTCTTGGAATCATTGTGACACCTAACATCAGGAGTGGGCTGAAAAACTGAGATGTGTATGTTGGTTAATCATGGAAATGCATAGAAGCCAAATTGTATGTATATATGTAAATATACTTTGGTTGTGTTTAACCCCTTGAACCTCCTTCCATCCAAAACTTTAGTTGATTTGTGTGTGTGTGTGTGTGTTTATTCCACCAACCTGTTGCCCTTTCCATTGTACACCCACTTAGTGGAACCCAGTCCTGTAAAGGCAGAGCACCAGTAGTAGAGACAGGCGTTACAGTGGAGACAATACAGAAGATATGTGGTGGTACGGATCACCCTGAAAGACAGTGAGACAGTGGAACATGTGAATGCACTGAAATCCAGACATTAGATCAACTGTATGAAAACTGTCTCCAGGATACAGAGGGGAAGGTGAGAGAACAGATTTCAGTGTCCATGGTTCCTGTCAGCATTTTACCAGGATGTAATGAGGAGGAGGAACAGAACAGGGAAGTATTTACACGCTCCATTGTTAGTCTGCAGCCCACCTGTATATGTAGGCTTTAGTCAAGATGGCCTCCAGACGCTCATTGAACTCGAAGAAGGAGTTGATCTGGATGAAGAGACAATGGAAAAAATAAGAAAGAAAATAGATGGAAGAAAGATGCAGTTTCACTCATGTTTGAAATTCAATGAAAAGTACAAGTGTATGTTTTGATTTGTAATATAGGGATATGATATATGAATGTAATAATTTCACTTGCTAAGCTTCATTGTTCTTGTCTATCTGTGATTGTGTGAAAGTCCATCATCATTCGTCCATCACCACAGATGTTTTGTTGCCAGGCTATCGATGCAGTAAAGGATTTTTAATGTCTTTTAAAGGCCTGAACACAGAATTAGAGCCGCACCTTCAGCAGCCGTGGTAAACGGAGCAGGGGGTTGATGCCAGTCTTGAAATAGAAGAGCTCCAGGGGAACGAGGCTGGCAACATCAAACTGAAAAGCAGGAGGGTAAAATCCCCCACTGATCAAACTGCTTCGATGATTGATGAACAGATTAAGGCAAGAGAAGAAGAACAGACTGAAACTTTTACAGCCACTCACCTTGAAGCGTTTGGTTTTCATGTAATTCTTTCTCATGTCTTTTTTGTCGCTCTATAATGAGAACAAAACAATTACAGATCAATAATCACGTGAACAAATAAAAGTTTAGTAATGTAAATGTTACTTCAACTAACTTCTGTTAGTCCCACATGTAAATAAAGATGGAGAACTCGTCTCCATCTCCTCTCACTATCCACAAATGAAGCCAAAGTATCCTGGATGAGAAGGTTACCATCTTTCACTGAAGAAATCATTTGGAGCAAGAGTGTGTTCTGTAAGGGGATGGAGCTTGACTTTTTAATCGGGTCTATGTCCCATCTACTGACATTAGGGAGGTAGGGTTTATGACCCATGCCCCAGACAGCCACCAGGGGGCGTCCAGCTTCTCGTGCCACACTCACCACGATGTCCCCTCCGCGAACAAACTGCAGGCGTGGCTGGAAGATGGTGATGTCCAGGATGTAGATGAGGTCACACAGGTAGTCGGTCAGCAGCCAGTAGTAAATATTGTCCGGAGTCTGATAGGGGAAGGCCCAGCGCACAGGGATGAACCATGCATTCCAGTTCCACGCAAGAGAAACCAAGAACATCCACAGCACATACATCTGGTCTGCAGATAGAGGAGAATGAGGAGAGTTGAGGGAGGTGTCGTCATTCTATAGTAACACAACAGAAGTGATGATTGATTGTGTGTGTGTTCATTTGTGTTTTCCCCCTTGACTGTTGTGTGCTTAGGGTGGGGCAGTCTTTGTGGGTGTCACTGCACGACTGTGTGCTTCTTCAATAACAAAAATCTATAAGAATATTGTTAAAAAAAAGAAGCCATGGTCAATAAGTAAGTACGGAATTAGCTCATTCAGTTATCAGGTAGCAATCTAGAATCTATTGGACAGGAAAGGGACCAGCTCACATGAATGTGAATGTGAAGGAGGAGAAAAAGGTAAATGGTTAAACAGGTCTGTATCATACAGGCTAGTTTAATAGATTCTCTTTTACTCAAACCAAATTAGCTACTGAATTCTGCTCTTGTACAAACATTAAGTAAAACATTTCTCGAGTGTTTGGTTTTGTTAAAGGGAAATATTTCTTCCTGTTTAAAATAAGATCAGAACTATGTGGCTGAAAAGTAAAGACTTTGACTAATTTCTGAATAGTTTGCATAAAGCGGATTGTTCTGCATTGTGAGTTCTGGAGAAGGTGGTGTATTCAGCAGGATTCTCACTGGTGAAGGGGTCGATGCTGGCAGGGAAACGATAGTGCACACAGGCATGAATGCACCGAGGAGCTTTCCCACTGCAGCAGCCCCTCGTCCGCTCCTCCTCTGCCTCACTCTCCACTCTTCCTCCTGCTTCTGCTCCTGATGGACCTGCCTGTGCCTCCTTCTCTCCCCTGTCCAGCGGCTGCCCTGCAGGAGCAGGCTGAGGAGGTGCTGGAAGGAGGGGAGAAGGGATGAGGGGGAGACAAAAGAGCAAACAGGTTTAGCAATGACTGATCATACATTCTTGCCTTAAGGACTGGATTCAAAAATCAAGTTTTATCAGATTTAGACTGGATCGCACTTTGGAGCCAGAGTCTGATATTTGCATTAAGAAAAGAAAAGGCTCACACTCACAGGGGATGATGCTGTCTTCGTCTGAGCTGTCAGGGTCAATCAGTTTCTCCTTGGCCTTCTCTGTTCTCTCTTTAAACATCCGCACCAGCTCCTGCAAACGCTCATTCACCACTGTGCTGGTCTGACTGGCTGAGGACGCCGGACGTTCTGGCAGACTTTGAAATAAAGTCAGAAATAAAATCAGACATGTGTGTGTCTTTGTGTCTGTGTGTGTTTGTGTGTGTGTGTGTGTGTGTGTGTGTGTACAGCACTCACACATCCTCTGTGCTGTGCAGGCTGGACTGGCTGGGCCAGGCTCTGACTGGGAGGTTTACTTCATCATCATCATCTTCACTTTGAGAGTGAAGCTTCCTGCTGTTAAAGTTGAATAAAAACAGTGACATCATTGGTTTAGCTCTGAAACAGTCATTACTGCATTTCCTGTGTGATTTACTACAAGAGTCATAGAAATGGTATTAACAAATTGTCCAATTAGATCAGAATCAGAGATAGTTTATTGACATCGGGTTTCATTATGGTTAGTTTGACAAATATAAGTAAGAAATATGTACAAATATATATATGTATATCTAAAATGTAGAAAATGTGCATATTTGTAAATACCTTTTCCTATAATATAGTATAAACAACAAGTGGTAGAGGATGTCAAGATAAATAAATAAAGATAATAAATAAATATATGTATTAATAAAATATATTTTTGTAATGTTTTATGTTGTTTTTGGGAAGCCATTTACAATATGAACAATTTAATGATTTTTCCTGTAAATTTGTCATAATTCCTCTTTTTAATTCCCATTAAAAAAACTAAAATAAAATAGAAGATAATGTATTACTTTGTATTTAGTCTGTTTATTAACAGATTTTTATTATATTATTATTTATTAGAAAAAATGATGTACAATTACTATTTCTGTTACAGTTGTGGTCCTTCATACACTAAGTGAAGTGGTATTTGTAAATTCTAAAAAGACGTAGACTCATTCATACTTCTTCTATATGATGAGTTGTGCCAAAAAACAACAAACTTTGTCACAAGCACAAAGTAAAACAACAACAACAAAAAAACAATTGTGTTTGTGAATGTGAGAAATGCAGATAAATAAAGATGTAATGAGTGAATGAGCAAAGACTGCTCCATTCAGATCAGATCAATTCAGGGATTTAATGAATGAATGAATGTTGATTGATAATCACGGGGCAGCACAATGTGTGGATGAAAAGATGGATGGGCACTAATGATTGATATTTAATAAAGCTTGTATATCTTACATCTTTGTCCAGATAGTCCTGTGATTCCTTCCACTACTGTCATACATGGCCAGAGCAGGGGAGTGAGTGAGTGTGTGTTCATGAAAGAAAGACAGGGAGAGAGAGAGAGAGAGAGTGTGTGCGTGTGTGTGTGTGTGTGTGAAAAGCATGATGTTAATCCAGGAAACAGAAAACAAGTGAAGACATAATCACCTCCAGTTCTCTACAGGTGGGGGACACATTGATGATGCAAGTGCAAGATTGTGATGCATCGGTTTATTGACTTTTTGCTACTCTACGTCACAATGCATGCAATAGACAAAATCACATGAGTCTGTAAATGCCGTGTAAACACTTCTCTCACACTTCACACAAAAGAACAGCACAACAACAACAACAACACAAGACAAGAACCACTCAGTGACTCAGAAACACCTGACAGCTTCACAAAGACGCCTTGTTCTGCATAAACAATGTGTGTGTTACAGTAGCAGCAAAAATAGTTTTCATGAAATCCCAGATTTTCCTAAAACATTTTACTTGTTGTCCACACATGGTTTCTGCAGGTCAGCCAAATACTGGGGACAGTAATGTCTTATTAAAAGTTTTGCCATGAATGCTATAAAAGTTATGCATGTGTTTATTTGTAAATGAAAAGCACACTATCCACTGGAGGCAACTACAACTCAGTCCATGCAGGTTCCTTACTCTTTATCTCCTTTACTGCAGATGCAAAGCGTGGGGAGAAGAAAGGACGAGAAATATTTAAGTATGTATCCAGATTTACTGCAAATTTGAGTTTCCACTTTTTAAAGCATCTAAAATGTCAAATGTTTTATAATTTGTGACTCGCGGGGATTTCTCACCTCTGACGACCTCCAGATGGGGTCACAGGGACAGTGAGGGTTGTAAGTTTCGGATCCTGTGGGGTGAGTATTTTAGGGACAGCACTCTGTTCCTCCCCTTCTCCTCCTCCTTCTCCTCCTTTTTTCTCGTGGTCTGAGTCCACATCCTCGACATTGACGGCTGGACGTAGGCTGAGGCTGGAGCTCTCTGGAGAGGTAGACAGACATGGTACATGGACATTGAGTTCAGAGTGTGAACAAAATATCAGCAGTGAGATGGAATGTACCATGATGTTACATGAGCTGCGTCACAAGAAGCAAAGCAGGTCACAGTTAGAGGCAAAAAGCAGGAGAAGCAGTTTTAGCAGGACCTAGATTCAGGCTTATGCAAGAGGATTGACCCTTAAACTAGTCCATCATGTGTAAGACAGACACCTGAGAGGACATTTATCTGGGACTTCACATGAGTCTGGCTCTTATGGCTCACGGTACACTGGCAGACTTCCGGCTTCTCCAAAAGAGATATGATGCTTTTTCAGTTTTTCTCTCTTCTATTGTGTTCAAATAGTTTCTTGTGGAAATAAAAGTTCTTCAAAGTCATGAATAAATCAAGTAATAACACAAATTAAATGTATGAATATTATCCTTTACATTAAAATAACATTTGTGGTTGTGTTTTCTTGAGTAAATGGTGAAACTTGCATGTGCTCCATTTTGATCTAAAACAATACACTTGTTTCTTTTCTTCAGAGCTCAACTGAAGAAACGTACTAATGTTGGTGCTCCAGTAAGATTTTTTTTAAACACGACAGGATAAGTGAAACACAAAAACATACAAAAACCAACAACCACAACACAAAACAACACGTTCACACTCCTGAACATGTTGTGAATTTGCTGTGACATTTAAACTCTTAATTTCTTTGTGGATGTGTCAATCACACTGTTCATTTAACGTCAGTTACTTTAATGATCGATTTACTCTGATTTCATGCATCAGATGTGACTGAGTTCATAAATGTTCACAATGTTCAAGGAATCACATGAAGACAATTATCTTTCTACTGTTTGCAGATTCACCTGAGGGTCTGACTGGCGAAATGTCTGAGTCCTCTTCGATGAAGAATGCCGGGTTGGACAGACCAGACAGCTGGCGGGATGTGGCGTTGAGCTGCTTTGACGGGGGGCTGACAATCGGTGGCAGGCGTGGATAGGATGGCACATTGGGCAACTCGAGGGTGCTACCATTGGGGGATGATGGAGACGGGGAGCGGGATCGGAGGTGAGGATGGTGAGGAGGAGGGAGAGGGGAGTGTCGGGCGAGCCGGTTAAGTTCTACGTCTTGCTGGTTCTTGTCTTTCGTCTGTTTTTGCTGTTGTTGTTTCTTAGGCATCTTGAGGCATAAGGCTGTTGAGGCGGTTCCGGACGTTGCTGAAGTACTGCTGCGTCCGGCTGGGGAACTGGGAGAGCTTCTGGGGGATGTTTGAGAAGCTCTGGGTGAGACTGGACAGAGTGGGGTCGGCTGAACCCTCTGAGCCTTTGGGCAAACACTCACTCAGGGTCTGCGCGATGTTTCGGGGGATCTGCGTAAGTCTGATCCGGGAGAACTCTTGGTGTAATTCAGGGGGGAGGGAGGGTAAGTACTTGGTCACATCAGAGAACTGGGTGGGTAGCTTGGGCATGGAGGGTATTTTCGGGGGGGAGATGCCGTTCTCTTTGAAGAATGCGTTGATATTGCCGAGGCACTCGGAGGTGTGAGGGATGCGCATCAGGCAGCTCTTAAATGTATCACAGCTGACTGGAACTATGGAAGAGACAGGTGGATACGCAAATATACAGTCAGGCAGAACAGAAGCATGATGGGAGATTGGCTCAGGTGAGGGCCACATATGACGGACTGAGCTCACGACCTCGGACCTGCTGCAATTTCATAATGAACCAAAAGTGTTTTTACACCTCTGTCTTAACAATGATGACACTGCCTCGTGCTTGTCTGGATGTAGAAAAGTGTGTCGATTGACAACTAAGCAGCTTGTGAGTTCAACAAAACTCAACTTATATAATACGAGTGGCAACAAAAGCTATATAATCTGTGTTGAGAAATATTTTCTGCATGAAAAAAAGCAAATATAATAAAATAGAAGACATACCACCACAGTCATCCCCGGCATCTTCCTCCTCCTACAAAAAAAGCATATGAATATATAAATATCAATGAAGAGCAGCAGAGTGATGTGCAACAGTTGGGAAAATGTTTATATAATGTCATTTATTGAATTATTAATTTTTTCTTACTTTTTCTGCAGGTTTGTCAGCGTCAGTGACTTGTCCGTCTGGCTCTGCTTTCTGTGGCTGCTGTGTCACAGGCTGAGCGTTAGAGTTGGCCTCCTGGGTCTTGGTCACTGCTTCTGGTTCAGGTTCAGGTTCAGGTTCTGGTTCAGGTTCAGGTTCTGGTTCAGGTTCTGGTTCAGGTTCAGGATTCGGCTCTGGTTCAAGGATCTTAACTGGTTCAGGACTTGGAGGTGGGGAGGGGGACGTCTGCTGTGGCTCTGCGTCCTCCTTTGGCTCTAGATGGCGATTAACAGATGTTTAGAATATATAGCATGTGTATTTGGACAGCAGAGCACTTTGCTATCCAATAAGAGTTGGGACCTTCTAGCTGCAGTCACTTTTGGGTGCAGTGATGCACGTGGGTTATATTTCTCTCTATACCTGGTTCTATTAAGGTCGGTAACACAGCCTCTTCTAGCTCTTCCTCGTCCTCTGCAAGACTCTCTTCCTCTCTGAAAGACAGGACAGGAGAGGACAGATCAGGACAGGAGAGGAGAGAGTAGGATAGGAGAGGAGAGGACAGATCAGGACAGGAGAGGAGAGGGTAGGACAGGACAGATCAGGACAGGATAGGAGAGGACAGATTAAGACAGGATATGGGGGGATGGGACATATGGGACAGATGGGACAAAATAGGACAAAAAACATGGCAGATTTATTAAAACTATCACGTTTTGTAAAACTAAAACACTGTCACACTTTCAAACCTGATTATAGACGACTGAGAATTATATGAACTCAGCTCATTGTGACCTAGTTACTGTTTCCGCTCTTGGTGATCACCTGTTGGTCAAGCTTATATAATTTGTTTACATCAGGATAATTATGAAGTCAGAGTTAAATAAGAATTCGAAGGTATTCAGTTAGTAACACATATCAGCCCGTTACCTAAACACGATGTTGTCTTATAAGATACTCACTTATTCACACGCGTTAATCGTCAATAGTCCAAACTGAAAATGTCCACGAGCATCAAAATGACACGAGCTCATGGACGAGTTCAGGCGAGTTTGTAAATATTAGAAAAACAACAGGGACATCCGTAACATCTCCGTCTGTCATGTTCCCTGTTTCTCCTGAAGCAGCAGCAGGTGTTACCAGAGGAACCGCTGAGAGAGGGAGAGAGGGACGGCACACATGTTGCCATGGGAAGCTGGGGTTGCTATGGTGAGGCGGTGTGATGCCATACAGACTGTGATGCTGAGGCAGAGACCACATAACGAGAACCCACAGGATTTGGAGCCAGACCTGGCAGCAAACGACAGATCGTTCATCTGTATTTGGATCAGTGTGAGCACGAGGGGAGTTTGACTTCAGGTTCTTTATTTGAAAACTGAGCTGCTGCAAACAACAACACGACAAAACTGTAGTGCCCCTTCTCTAATGGGCACATGGTCTTACTCTGCGTCAGGCTCCTCCAGCAGTTGTGCACTGTCCAGCGAGAGCCTGATGGACTGTCCCTCACTGGCCATCTGTCTGATGGCCATCTCCGCCGTCTGCCTGGCCACCTCCTCAGCCACACGGGTCATCTCCATGCGCTCCATCAGCAGACTGAGGAAAGACATGGACACACTGATATGAATCATGCTGTGAAGTGACTTTAGATACTAGAGGAAATAACAGGTTTATTAGCCTATAGTCAAATGAGTGATTGCTCTGAAATAAGGATTGGTTGTGACTATCTTTATTTATTGAAGTCATTCAATAAATAATATTATTTGAAATGTTTCTGGAGGTCCAGCTCTGGCCACACCTCCCCCTCTCTTACCGTTCCTCCATGGTAGCAAAGGCCACATCTTCAGCCTCCCTCTTGATGCTCTCGATAAACGGCGTCCAGCGACCCGTCTGAGTCTCGGCATCTTCCTGAGATATTTTCGTCATGTTCTCTGAAAGTCCTCCTGGCACTGGATTGGCATCAGGGTGCATCTGGGACGGCATGGAGGCCGCGGGCTGTGAACTGCACTGCGTCTGCTGCATGGCGTCCTGCTGTTGGTGAGTTGTCGGTGATGCAGGAGTCATTGATGTGGACGGTGGAGCAGGTCTGTGCTGACCCTCGTTGTCTGACTCCACATCTTCTAGGACCATGTCAGGTTTGAGATTGGAAGAAGCTGTGAGGGCGACAATGTTCAGTTTGGCAGTAGATGTATTGGTGATGGATTTAGTTTTGGATTTGGATGCATAAGGTATATTTAGACACAAAAAGTATTTAATCAACAATTCTAATGATGGTTTGTTCAAAACAAATCTCGGATTCAGGCATAAATATATATCCTCTGGATTTTTCCTTTCACATATGAAGAATGCAGCAGGAGATTATCTGAGTCAGATGTGTTCACAACATCAGAAAACAGTGGAAATAACATGTTTCTGTTTCAGCACATCTGTACCGTGTCCGCCCAGGTTGTCTTTCCAAAATGACATCTTCACATTTGTTTTTTTTTAGTTTTGCATCCGTCACATGTTAGAACCATCATCAGCAAACTCTCTGGCTGTGAATCCTTCAGACATAATCCTGTTGTATCCTCATCAACTCATCATTTGCATTCAGAAAGTCCAGAGTTCAGTTTGAGCAGCTTATTTGATTGAAACCATTGACTGTAGATAAAGATGGACAACATGGAAGCCCCCCCAAAGTAGCTCCATCGCCGATCACTACAAGCGTTGGTATCTGGGAGTCTTTTGGGAGGATGTTGTCTTTATTTACAGTCTGGTCTCTACATGCTCTTTAATTTTGTACAGGCAAAAATCTCTCCAGTAGTTCCAGTCGAGATTTTGAAGAAAATTGTTATCAAGCTTTAGTTTTCCCGATAAAAACCACCACATAATTCATTCCACACTGAATCTTTATTATTCCTGCAGTGTCTTTACATCACAGCGTTATACTGACGTGTTCTACCACTTCACGTTCTGAACGTGATCAAGTACTGTTCTTACAAATCAGGTCAAACCACCAGGAAAAACACCACAGTTCACAGTTCAAGGCCTTAGATACAAATCAAGTGGATCACAGTTGTAGTCCTGCCTCCCTCAAATCTTACACTTACAATCCTGAACTCAACTCAAATTTGCTTGAACAAAAAAATATAGATTTGAAGGAATAAGATTTAACAGATGAAAAATTAGTCTATTTTTCTCCTAAAATAAAGGTCAGGTATTGATATATAAGAATATATAAAGATAAAACAATAGCACATTTATATAGCTGCCATTTAATCATTTTTTCTGGATTTCTGTCAGGAAAAGAAGATACTACATTAAAATGACTGGTACATCACCTTTGTTTCTGAATATGTTCGGTTTCTGGATATGAAAATGGCAACATGAATATATCTAGTGTACATTTCCATAGGCTACAGCGCAGTAACAGAAAGATGTAACGTCTGCAGCCCTTTGTGCATGAAACCTACAGCAATGTCAACCACTAAAGATTTCTGTCAAACAGAAAATGTGCAAATTCACAACAAGCACACATTTATTTCCCTACAGAATACACAGTACACACTTGACTTACATTGCATATATCAGTGCACACGTTTGAAGTTGTAATACATTCATTTTCAAACTGTACTGAGTACAGCAAGGTGAGTTGAATATAGCTCTATATTCTTTAACAGCTGCCTAGAGTTTCAGTACTGAGCTGCACATTGTACATCAACTGTGGCTCTGCATGTGTGTGTGTGTGTGTTTGTGTGTGTGTGGGAGTCAGAGCATCCCCCAGTCGTCTCCTCCTGCTGTTTAAGGGGCTCGCAGCGCCTTCCCCCCTGAAACAGAAGGAGAAGAGGGACTGAGTTAGGCTCCGACCACCCGACCAAAACACCTCTTCAAAAACTATGGGGGGAAAAACAAGAGGGCGCTTCAACAGAAAACACATTTACAGTCATTTCCAGATATTACACAGACCCGGAGGAGAATGAATGAAGCAAAAGCGCAGATGTTTTTAAAGAGATGTTTCCATTTCTATTTCTCTGGGAAAACATTATCTGATATAGATCCACTTGACAGAACTGTGAGTTGTGGCACTTTGTACTGGCAGGAGAAGGTTTTCTATAACCACAGGAAAATAAAGTTAAGCGGCTAAAGCCTTAACTCACCTTTCTGTAGAACTTCAGCTGCACACTGAGGGAAAAAAGAAAAACATCAGTTGTAAGAGCTGATTACAATCAGATCGAGATGAAGGAAGAAAAAACACTCATTCATTTATTCCCACAATTTACCTGGATATCGTCTTTGGGGGGAATCGCAGGCTGAGGCAGCTTCAGGCCAATACCGGACATGAACCAGCCGACCACACTGTGGAGAGACGACCTCAGTAATTAACCCATTAACACAATGTACTTGAGCTGTTAGATACTTTAGTGAAGTGTATCAATCCATCAAGAAGAGAACAATTTTAACAATTTAATCCTATTATTTTTTACAACTATTTGAGACTAATGCATGCAGTGAAATGGAAATATAAATTAATTAATAGAAACAAATGTGGAATAAAAACTAAATTAAGAAACTAAAATAGAAGAAAATAGGAAAAATATAATAAATATAATAATATAGAGTTAAAAAGACATTGAGATAAAAGTTTTAGGCTGTCATCAACCTAAGTTACCAGTAGATGTCAGCAGGTGTAAGCGGCCACTAGCGGATGTTTGGGACATAACCACAGTTGTGCACCTTAACCATTAAGCGTTTTGGTCTTTGTGATCGATGATACAGGCCGAATTTGAGGGTTTGACTGGCTACTGGCTTGTATGGCAGCATATGAAAGCCATGAGTCCGCTCAATAGATCAGACATCATTACATCTTTGCCTTTTTAAACTAAACGCTGTCCCATTTTAGAACATAGAACAAGATGTAGATGTAGATAATCAGCGTCATCATCTGCGGAAAGAAAATGACTTCTAAACGTACTTGGACACTTTGCTGTCGGTATCGAGTGAGATTCCACTGAGAGATTCAGGTGGTGGAGACAGAACTGCAGAGAAGAGACGGAGACATAAACGTCAGAGAACAGAACATGAACCAAGGTGCTGCTTTCATTGTGCGACTGTGTCATGTGTGTATTTGCTTATGTACATGGAACTGTGCACGTCTTAGGACACAAGATACAGCATCGGAAGTAATTTCAGTAATCGGTGTAATTTCATCTTATAAACAATATGTGGTGTTTGTGCTACGGGTACAGTTAACCCCACTTGTGTGTGTGTGTGTGTGTGTGTGTGTGTGTGTGTGCGTGTACTTTTGTCCAGAGAGGAGCGGGAGCGGGATGACTTGGTCGATTGTTCTATGGCTACAGCACCAGGGGGCAGTATAACTGGCTGAGGGATGATCTCCTTTATCCATTTCACCACACTGCAACAGAGAAAGACAAAAGTTTGAACTGCCTGCTCTGTGTGTGTGTGTGTGTGTGTGTGTGTGTGTGTGTGTGTGTGTGCACCATAACAGCATGCTGTATATTTTGTTGTCACATGTTGGTGTGTGAAGGTTCAGCTTTAATAATTGAGCTTGTGTGGTTAGAGGGGATTTATTCTCACTTTGGAGGGAACTGAGGGGTCAGACTTTCTGCTTCTGCTTCCTCGTCATCTGACACCATCTCCACCACTGGGATGTGTGGGAGGGGATCGAAATCTGGACCAATCAGAAACCTCAGTTAGAGGAAAAAATGACTGAGAAATCCATGATCAGTGGCAAATTTACTTCAATGTAACATAACTGTATTAGTCTTTACTAGAAAATCAGATTCACAAATATTATTCATTAGTCCCTGTCCATGATGAACTTTCAAATATTCAATTTAAAAACACATGATAAAGAAACGTACCTGGCATTGTTTCAACATCATAGATCTAGAACAGCAGAAAGGAAACAGAACAGATTGTGATCAGTTTATTTGTCTTTAAGTTATTTTCTATTGGAACTCATTTATTAGTAAGTTACTGAGATGAGAATAAGATTAATTTCTTTAAATGAATCTTAAAACTGAGATACATTTGAATTCTGGCACCAAAGAGCTCACGTTGATGTTTGTCTACACGATTGAGCAAAAACTACAAAATAAAATTGTGGGATCTGACAGATTTAAATGTGGTTTCAAATACAATTTTGTAACAGACGTTGGGCACAGTGGCGCAGTAAGAATAAGATTTGGCTGAATAGAGAATAAATAAGATACTGATTCTTGTATAAGAATCAGTGAATTCGATGTTTATCACTGCAGCTCCATGGTTACAAATTAAAAAACCTGGTTTAAGTAGTAGTGAAAGTTAATGGAGGAGATAAACCTGGATAAACCCCCTGTAGTTTCCTTTATGAGATGAATACACATGATTAGTCTGATAAGCCTGTGGGACAATGCTGAGCTGCTTGAGTCAAGTGTCACAAGAGCTCACAGATGTAAATTGTCTTAATGCCCCAGAATTACTTAAATCAGTTTATCCATTTACGCATGTTGCTCCTATTGTGTTGGTCTGAGGAGAAAATACTGAAGAGGGCTGTTAGTGGGGAAATGAAGACCTTTGATTTTAGGGCTGTTGAAAGTTGAATAGACAAATAACTGACGTCCTTTGAGTCTGACCTCAGTGTGTTCC